AACCCTAACCCTAACCCTAACCCTAACCCTAACCCTAACCCTAACCCTAACCCTAACCCTAACCCTAACCCTAACCCTAACCCTAACCCTAACCCAAACCCAACCCTAACCCTAACCCTAACCCTAACCCTAACCCTAACCCTCACCCTAACCCTAACCCTAACCCTAACCCTAACCCTAACCCTAACCCTAACCCTAACCCTAACCCTAACCCTAACCCTAACCCTAACCCTAGTCTGGTTTCTAGATTTTCGGTAAATAGCTTTCCGTATTTACGGTATTCTGGTAATACCTTAGCGAGTCTATCGTGATCGCTTATTACTAGTCCTTTTTCTGCTTGGACGATCTAGTAGATTCCTTTGATAATGTTGGTTACGTGTCGGTGGTTATGCTGTCGCTGCTATCTTAAAGTCTTTCGTACTTCTTTCGCCTTAGTCCCTGACTTCTGGCGGCTGTCTGAGTCTCCCTAAGGCTCCTTCGTCGGTAAGTCTTTCTACTGTTTTCGACGGATATCAGGATCGGGTAAGGTTTCCTTCGTAGTCTCCTACTTACTCTCTAATCTCCACCGGAGCTAGCTAAGCTTCTAGTCTATATCGGGTTTCTATTCGTTAAACCATAGTTTACTAAGGATAACGTCCTTGTGTTCTATATCGTATATATCGAACTTTATTATTCCAGTCTTATTCTGGATTTCAACCTAAAGGTGTATAGTCTCCTGGTTAATAATAACTTCTTCGTGGGACTGGTTCTTTCCCGTATACGGAGTAATCTTATACTCCTCTTCTAGGTGTTTTCTAACCCAGGGAATAGAGAACTTTCTCACGGCTGCCGGTAAGATAAAGTTTCCTGCTATGCCTATATCTAATAGTGCGTTTATCTCGTGTTCGTTAAGTCGTATTCTAACATAATAGTGCCCTGTACTGCTACGTGTTATGGAGTATATCTGTCGAGTGCCTCTCGTATACTCCTAGCGATAGCATGCTCCTAGTTTTTTACCCGTTTAGCTCGGTGTTTAAGAGATATTTCCTTATCTAAGAACCCGTACTGGATTAAAAGTTATTCTATCCGTCGTAGGCGTTCGTTAAGGGCCTAGAAGCGTGATTCCTAAGCTTCTTAGTCTTATCCTAGTTATCGGATTTTCTTAGAAGTATGTGTCGCGCGGCTGGTGGTGTCGTATTCGTCTAACCGGTGCTTATAGTAATTATGCCTAGGTGGTTAATCGTCCGATCCTCGTAGGCTCGCTGCCCGGTCGGTAAGAGTATCTCGGTCCTCCTAAGCGTGGTAAGGTTATTAACGTGTAGCTCGTTACCACCCCCCGCTAGTGTTTATCGGTACTATACGGTAGGCTTTACTAAGGTTAGGTTTAGTAAAACGGACTTAGTGGGTTTATCCTAGTGGTTCTTCCGCGAGTTAGTCGAGTATCCGTAGCTGGATAGTTTTTTCCTCGACTAGGTCGGCTGCTTCCCAGGATTAACACTGGAAGTTCGTGCTGCTATCCGGGATTTCGTCGGACTCCGTTTCCCAATCTTGCTCTTCGAGCTTAGCGATTCTCTTTCGGGTATAATCTTTTTCCTTCTGGATTTCTAAGATCTGCTTCTGCCTCTTAGCTTCTTCTTTCGTCTATCCGTATTTTTAAAGGATTTCTGCGATAGTTTATAAAGCTAGTTCATCCTCATCCCAGTCGGGGATCTCAAGGCCATAGTCGTTATCGTACTCGTTACTAGATACCATAGCGAGTATCTTCTAGGGTCTCTTAGGGTAGTACCTAGCTCCGTCTTTCCCTGATTAATATACTAGATAATAGTTATCGTAGCAGGTTACCTAATAGAGGTTAACGTGTGGTATTTCGTCCCTATAAATTTCCAGGTATTTAATAGCGTTAATTTCCTTCTAGGGTCTTTCTTTCTTAATCGTATTTACTTACCGTTATAGTCATTCTTTCTTAGGCTTATAATAATCGCGTGCGTAGTGACCTAACCTATTATAGTTATAACACTTGACTTTAGTTATATCCTTTTTGCCCTGCTTATCGCTCTGTCGGTTAATGTTATCGAGCTTTATGGGTCTACTATAGTATCTATATAAGGTGTTTCCGAATTAGCGTGGGTGTGATTATTTCTTCTTCGAATTAGCCGTGTAGAACGGAACGCTCGTTTAATACTTCTTCTAACGGCGTCGTTTATAGTTCCGGTTATCGATACGAATTACTATCGCGGTGTATTCGCTAAACGTCTTAGGTCGGTCTAATCGGTATAGTTTATCCTTCACTTCTTCCTTAAATCCTTAGTAGTACTAATCTATAAGGGGCTTATCCGGGTAGCTAAGCTTTAACGAGATTTACTAGAATCTCGTAGTATAGTCCGTAGCTGACTTATTCTAACGTAGCTAGCTTAGTCGTTCGGCCGCGACTCGTTCCTTGTCGGGCTGGCCGAAGATGGCGTTAAGTCTCTTAACGAACACGTCGAAGTTCTTGAAGATTACCGTGGTCCCGGGCTTCCTTAGGATCTCTGTTCCTATATTCTCCAGGTAGTCTCTATGGATAGACTCGAACTATTCGTGCGTATCTCCTGTAAGGAGTGCCGCGGTATAGAGTACCTTGGTTTCTTCCGTACGGATACTATCCTGGTAGAATAGGAGGTAGCCTCTAAGCTGAGTAATAAAGCTCTAAAGCTACCCTTAAGTCCCGTCGTACTTAGGGGGTGTAGGGTATCTATACTTAGCCCCGATTCCAGGATGGTTTAACTGAGCTCTCAGGGTCGTATTCTCCCCCTAAAGCTAAGTAATTATGTCGCGAATCTGCTAAAGGTCGTTGTTCCCTCTAGTGGTAGTGGTAGGCGTCGCGGTGCTTATAGCGTTCGTGGTACGGTTATTGTTGTTCGACATGTTGGAAGAGTGATTGCTGGCTACTTCGTCGTCTTGTTAAGGTTATTCTGGTCCTTCCTCTTCGCCGGAGGAACTGGATTCTTCAGACGATGATTCTTCTTCAGATGAAGTGACTTCTTCTTCCTTAGGCGAAGTAGCTTCTGCTTCGGGCGTACTACTCATTAGCTATCAAGGTTAGCTTACTAAACAGGATCGATCAAAATATTACGGCGGCTTCCGGTCCTCTATAGTATAGCGGACGATAGGGGACTGGCGTCGTGGTTTTAGTTTAAATAAGAAGAGGATGTTAACTAAAGAGCAGTAACTATCGTTCGTAGTGTCTGGTCATAGTTGCGTCGTAAAGACTAGGCGTCTTCTTCACAAGGTAGAGTCAAGCGTAGACTAATAGTCCAGGTGAAGACTTAGATTGATCGATGTCTTGTTCTCTAATAGAAGCAAGACCTAGGATATGCTGGCATATATATCTACGGGATCACGGGTGTCCTGGTGATCTCCTGGTTCGGGATCACGCCGGATCACTTCTCGGACTAAGTGACCCCTAGTAATCTCAGTGATCCTCCTATGCTAATAGGTTCCCTATGCGGGTGCATACTATACCGGTTATCCATCACGTGACTTAGCACGTGATATTGTCCTGAGTTATCTTCTGGTTACGCCCTGGTGCGCTGACCGCCCCAGTACGTCACACACCAGTATGTCCTTGGTGCATGTTAGGTCTGCTGGCCGTAATAATTCTAGATTTTCCCTTATCTATTATATTATAATTATTATCTAACGATCTAGAGCCGGAACGTCCCTGCGTAGTTATAATACCTTAACCCGATTATTCTAATATAATTATACATAGTCGTCTTAATTAAGTACCCTTTAATATAACCCGATTTAATGGCTCCGGTTACGCTATATCTGATATAAGTTGCTCAACCCACTGGGCAAAATTCTCATGTCCTCGAGCCCTCGCAATCCTCGCCGCACTCAATCCCGGTCCTCGATCCAGTTCTTCGACTCTAGCACCATGCTCCACGAGCAACCTAGCAACATCGACATCGCCTCTCTAAGCGGCCGTATGCAAGGCGTTAAAATAGTCTCCCACCTGTGCCGGCATACCCTAATCGCGGATTTCTGCCCAAGGTCTTTGGACCCCCGCCTGAAGATCCAAGCCCGGAATTCCCTCAAGCACCCTTCTGATCAACTCCACCCGCAATCCGTCGAGGAGATGGTCAGACTCTATGATCGTTACGAGGAGCCCCCCGGTATGTTGGTGGTAAAATGCCTCGCTAGTCGCGATCTGAGCCGGGGAGAACCGGGTACAGTACTGCTCTGCGCGCTCCCGAGAAGGACAATGGGACAGGAAGTTTCCGATTGCCCGTAGGCCGGGGAGGAGATTATTGACGCCCAGGGCGGCGTGGAACGCATCGAGGTTGGTTGATGCGTAGTCTATGATCCATGGTCCTGGATGCCTGACTTGATGGGCGAGTACCTGAAGGCCCATTTTAAGGCTCCATTCCACGGGTTGGTGAATCCACCCCGCGTTGAGGAGCTGTGTCCAGAGCCAAGCTTCCAGCTCGACGTTGACAGGTCCTCGGGCAGAATGCTGATGCATGTAGTACTGTTCCTGCGAACGAGATTCCACGACGGCCGCCTCAAACCAATCAAACGATGACTTTGTCGGCACGGGAACCCGTACCAAGATGTGTCTAAAGAGGTTAACGTGCCTCTTCACATAACAAACCATGATGAGTACATCGGCCGCTTCGGCAGACAGAACCGACAAGGCAAGACTGCGCTCCTCGCTTAGACGGTCGAACGCCACAGGGTCTTCTATAATCCATGCCAAGCCGGCGAGGCCACGTAGGGTATCCCATTCTGGATGATACGTAAGTACTCGTTGGAGAGTGTAAACATTATGTCTAGATTGCAGGGTAGATAAAGCAGGGAAAGTAGGACGCTGTATACGCACCCTGGGCGCGAAACGCCTGAAAGCCCTCAGTCCACAGACGTGCTTTCACCGCTCCCGCGAAGATATCAACTAGGTGGAGGGGTAATAAGTCTATCTCCTGGTCTACTTCTCGGGCAGGCGGCCTGTCAAAGGCATGATGGACCCCGCCGTCTTCCTCAGCCTTCAAGTGCAGGAGAATTGCATCAAGATACTGCTTGAGGTCGTACTGTCCCAAGAGAAACTGCCCCGCAGTCCTGGCGAAACAGCTGGTATTGCCGGTGTCGTTATACTCTGCCTCAATCTTGCCGACGAGTACACCGCTGCCATACTCCCGCCAGACAATCCTGGTAGTGCCGTCGGGTTGCGTAATGGTCTGCATTGGATAGGGCGTTATGCTAGGATCTTGGAGAGTGGGAAGATATAAACGATGTGTATGAATGAGTGACACCGAACCCGAAACAGAAGCGCAGTGCTAGATAAAGGGGAATGTATAATGTCCCTGAATGAAAGCGATTGTGCTCGCCAGCGGCATGGTTTAAATCCCTTCCCTATGATACCAGTTTATGGGCCATGGCTTCGGAGAGAGGAAGAGGGGGGATAATCCCACTTGGTTTAGCGTCCCATTTCCCTGGAAGAGATGTGTTGGTTGGCCTGAATGGTGACCGAGTATGCGGGCCAGTCGAGGGCCTGAAGGGGAGGGGAAACGGGGAGCCAGGGACCAGGGTCCCTTAGGTCTCTAGATGTTGTGCAGCCAGTAAGCAAAGATTCCGACGGAATCTTTAACATTTGTCAGAACCCACGTAAAGGTCGGAAAGTTTCGCAATGCCGGCGAAAACATAGTCTCTCGGGTGTCAGGACGTGTCTCTCGTGTGACCAGAAGATGTTATTGAATCGTCCGTAGGTCCTTCCGGGTCGGTACTCGTCAAACTCTGTCGGCGTCCACGTGAAGCTAACGATGCGGCCGGAGTATGCCTCGGCCATAGACTATAACATGGCCTGGGAGTATTAATGACTCACATGTGGCAATGCGCCCGTCTTTCCCGGCCTTGGTGAAACGAATATCGGCATCACGGACGGGTGCGAGGCCGTCGTCGCCTTGCGCCCTTGGTCCCAGTCTCCTAGAACCAGTAGCAGTCACACGCTGGGATTTACTGCGGTGTCGTCGCTATAAGGAAATAAGCTTTACACAAGACAGCGTTGGATTACGTTTTGGGACCGCCCAATATCTATAGACATTGCCAAGTCTCGCCGCCAGTGGCATCAAAGAAGCCAGACTAGTGTAAGAGAAGCCTTGTGCGAGCGACGGGTCTCCGTAGTGTACTTGCTACCCAGGTGCATAAACAGACTTCCAGGTTATGGAGGGTCTTGGTCTATGGTTACTCAACATTCGTGTCATGCTCCTTCAGAGAGAGTTTATGTCCCTAATTCTGTGTGTGTCTCGAATTCTCTATCGCCATTGTGACAGTCAAACTAAGTACAACTCTCAATTTTGGTTGAAGACATCTACCACTCATACACATACCAACCCGTCCACATATCTCGGGTGCGGCTTCTTGTACTTTCGGCAACTGGTCGACATACTTACAGTATGTCTCTCTCGGGTGTCTCTGTTGCAGTGACGACCTCTTCCCAACTAACTAGAGAATCTGAACAAGGGTGTCTAGGACTCTAGTTCAGGTCTTCGGGGAACGCTCCGGAGCAGCAACGGCACTAGGTCGCAGTTCCGGCTTCTGCGGTCTGCCATGTCCATTCGATGTGCGAATACAATGATTGACAAGACATGGGGTGAGAAGATCAGGATGTGGTAGGAGCTCAAGCGTGCTACGTACGATCTCCTCTGAGCAGGTTTGAATCAACACGTGTTGGACAGTCATATTAGAGATTACCTTAGGCACAGGGGGTCGAAATACCCGTGTCCAAGATCAGAGAAATACCCGAGCCGGGGGCATGTTATTATAGAAAACGACAAGCAAGTCGATGTTCCCCTTGGTGTCCGTTCAGCACATGCATTTAACGTCAGTTCAAGGTGCCGGAAGTTCGGGAAAGACCAGTCTTGTGTTTTCCCAAACCCAACCGCCAGTAAAAGCTCATACGAACCAGTGCAGACAGTACAGGAGTAAGAGTGCAAGAGTGTATCCATAATTATTAGGTCGAGACCCTCTCTGGCCGGGGTATCATGTACATAAACCTGTTCCTCTTAAACGAACGGAGCCAATCACCGATTCACAATTCCCCAATGTGTTGTCAATCGGGTAAACCCAAGCTCCGTCCGCCTTTCCCCCTCCTTTTTTCCTCTCTCTTTCTTTATCGCTATTGTCAAGTCAATCATCTACACAATGGCTAAGATACACGTGGAGACAGAGACTCAAGGGTTAAAGGGGTTGACACAGTCCTCTTTTATTTTTATTTTTTAGCCGCGACGGCAACGATGAGTGTAGCTGGGTACGCTCGCTCGCTCGCTCTCTAGGTATTCATTCATTCGGCTCGTACACGAGCCAATAGTCACCTGGACCATAAACAGCTAGAGCTCAGTCACGACTCCGTATTTATAGCCCTATGTAGAGTCACGGAGCAAGGAGGACCCTTGTCCAAAGCAGGACCCTCGAGATAACTTGAAGCCTATTGGGTTAGAGACATCATCTCGGTTCCTGGCGTCTTGGCACTGGCTAGGCAAGTTTAAGGGTGCAAGGCCCCTTTTCCTTATTTGCAACGCGCACCGTCGTCCACTTCGTTCTCCCTTCCTTTCCTTTTTTTTTCTTTCTCTTGGCTTGCCGAATCTTGGGATCTCGGTCGTCGACCACCACGTCTAATTACCTCCCGAGACGCTTTGTCGCATTCATCGTCACTCTTTCAGAACTCTGCATTTCGTTATTATCACCCTTTCCTATTTACTGCCCCCCCCCCCTTTTTTTCTCCCCTTGCTTCTAAATCATTCTTAATCACTCAAAACACCAAATCACATCCAGAGCCATGGCGTCCCATCCGACAATACAAGCCTCGCAGGGGCAGCCGTCGCAAATGTCTCCCGAGCAGAAGCCAGCGTTCACAAATCATCCCATTCAACCGCAGCCATATCCAAAGCAGCCCCCTCAGCCCCGTCTCGTGCCATTCCACAAGGGCTGGCATGTTACGAAAATCGTCTTCCGTTCTCTCGACCTCGCTTTCAGCATTATTGTCCTGGCTCTCGCTATCTACGTTGTCATCGTCTTTGGCGATCTTCTAGCCATCGTCCTTATCTCACCTCCTGTACGCAATCAAATTCTCGGCCCACTTAATACACATGCACCATATGTTCATTCAGGCATCCCATCTAACTAACGCCCGATTCATAGGCTATCCTGGCAATCATCTGGGAAACCGCCGAATTCATTACTCTCTGCGCTCGGGGAGGCAGGGTCGGAATCCATCCCGGCGCCCACGTCGGGCTTCACCTCATTATCTGGCTCGCATGGTGTGTCGCGGTCGGTTTCATTGCTACCCGTTTTGCCCTTTTCGGCTACTACGACGTGACAGGTTACGGCAGCGTCATAGACACCCAGGCTGCAATTGTGGCCTTTTCGTCTTTGCTTCTGTGGGTTCACGGTCCTCCCAACTCCCTCCCCTTCCCCCTTCCCCCAGTTCCTACCTGTCCTATCAAGTCTAGCGCCTCGCTCACACAGACGGCACCCCTCAGTATTGTGCACCTCACTCTGTTCATCGGTGCCTGCGTCGATACTTCCCGTCGGAACAGTGCCGCGCGACCTGTTTACGTGGTTGCAAACGGTCCCAACGGTCCCATCTTCGTCGCAAACCAACCCGCAGTCATGCCACAACAACCCGCGTTCGCCTACCAACCTGGTCCGTACCAGCAGCCGGGTGCGTATCAGCCGGGCATGTACCCGCCAGACACATATCCCCAGTCGATGGGGCCCCAGAGCGCCGCCTACCCTCCTGCCGCATACCCACCTCCCACGCAACAAGTTCGAGCTTCCGGCAACTTCTCCACCCACTCCCCGTCAGACTTCTCTCGGACCCAAGAGCAAGCCCAGACCTCAGGAAATGCAACTGTTTCCAGCGACAATGGTCCGTCTGCGCCTCAACGCCAGTCTTCAGTCTCGCCTGTGGACGGTTCATACTATGGTCCCGGAAATGAGTATCATCAGCGAGGGTAGAATGTCGAGATATACGATGACTCTGCACTAGTCTTAATTTTTAATGGGCACGAGCGGGTTGGGAAGGCGTTGCAGGACTGTACCTAGCAAGACTGTGCGTCAGCTTGGCTAGGCTTCTCGGCCAGTGGCCCTTGGCCAGGATAACCTCGTGTCGGATTGATACCCTTTTCGTATGGTCGTTTCTAGGCGAGCCCTGCGCTTTTGTCGTGTCACGAGATTGAAAGAAATGAAGGCGGCCTCCTATTGCAAGTTGGCACCCAAGGGCTCCCAAGTCTCTGCAGCATGTTTCTTGTGAGTCTGGAAGCTCTTGTCATCTGCCAGATTATTAACGCACACACGATGTCAATGCATCGGATGTCATTCATCCTACAGGTGGATGCTTAGACGCTACATGCCAGAAATCAATAAGTAGCGCCCTGGTAATTATCGATCTGCGGTCAGTTTGAATCGTAAGTGACAGCAGAACAGGCCGGCCATGGCTTTCTCTCTTTTTCTTTCGTATGGATGTCCTCGGCTATATACGTTAACATTGACATACAATATTTTGTCATAGACTCAAGTCCAAACAAGGTGATTTGACACGGGGCATGGGGATGGGAGCCTGTAGGGTGCGAACGGCGTCTACTACGGTCACAGAATCCAGTTGCAGCAATGGCATGGCTCGTCGACACGCTTCTAGAATCGCTAGGTTATGTGTCTACAATTGGACGAGAGCCGGAGAATGGAAGACCGATGCAATGACTAGTAGGTGGTCACCCCAGTATCGCCTTGACGCCTAACTCAATCTACAGACCATGTCACAATAGGCACTCAGATGTTCAGATCCATGGCAGCTTATCTTAGTTAGGCATCATATTGCAAAGGATATCTAATCTAGAAAGTATCACATGTGCGTAATTATCCATTCTAATATGATCGGTTGGGCCTTTGGACAGACCCTGTTTCAAGGACAGCAGTGGACGTGGACTGCTGTTAGCTTGTTCGCGACCAGTACGTTTATTGGAAGCGCCAGCGGGGAATCTTGGCACCTGACCATTGATATGTTAGGCATGTACGGAATACGGCTCGATTCACCACGCTAAAAAATCATCGGTGAAGCACAATATGTACGTAGTGAAATGGGTTTTCGACAACATGTCATGGCCAGACGCCGTGGTAGTCAGTCGTCACGGGGCGAGGCGGTCTGAAGACGAGGCGACGTCACGTCAAGACTCAACTCCACTCAAGAACATGCGCCACTTGGGCATTATCAGGGTATGTCTGGATGGACTGTTTGTTACTTGTTCGTATGGCGAATAGATAAGCAAATCAAACAATCCGTCAAGCCCTGAAATAAAACTCTCATAATGCTGTCAGCGTCTCGGGGACACTGGTAGTTGAATATGTGACCGATGCCTCTCTGAGAGATGACTTCGCTCGTTGCGACTTGCACAATAATGATTACAAGTACTAAGTGCCGTACCTATCTATCGCAGTGCACCGTTGTACCGGTATTCCGCAACGTGTGACCGATTCAATTTTCGCCCTGTTTGTGGAACGCGCCGTGCCCAATTACCGTAGATCCCGCCTTGGAGAAAGTGGGGGTGGGTCTCTTAGGTATCCGTACCTGTTTCAAATTGGGGAGAGCCGCAAGATCGGTCGTTGTTCGAAGTACGATGAATGTATATACCGAGACACTACTCGTGAATTCATTCCAATGACAAAAGGTCACGAGGAAGGAATTGGTTAATTAGGCAGGAATCAAATCTGCAAACTTTCTTAGGATAGGTAAGGTAGATAATCAACATAATCATAGTGGAAATCGGGTACCTTAGGTACCGGAAATTCATAATTCAGCGATAGATCCCAAAGATACAAGGACGACGTACGGAGAAAAGCCAATCACGAGTACAATTACACCAGCTAGACATCCATTAGTGTTACTAAAAGTGGGGCTATGCGTTCTGGTAGCCAATGCCAGGAGAATATTACCCCAGCCACTTCGTCCTTCCAGGGACTAAAGCGCAGAATGAACCTTATATGATACGCAGTACTTAAAAGTACCGAATCTGCCGATTTCCCGCAATGCACGACTTTCGGGGGTAGGTAGGTACTTCGCAAGTACAATTAATTTACGAAGAACGTTGTGGCGTCGCGTGACGCAATGGTAACCAAGTACCACTGCCAGTCCCGGCGACCAACCCCCGGCAGCCAGGCAGCACTGGCGGCCCGATAAAGGGGGCCAACATCCCCCTCACCATCGCGAAGTCCCTTTTCTTGTTCTTCTTCCCCCCCTCACCGCAAACAAACAGGGTCGCAAAGTTATATCTAGGATATCTCCTAGTCCGCTCGTTCTGTTTCAAGGCAGGCAGGCTTTGAGATATTCCGCCCGGGCCCGTTCCCTCTGTCAATCTTTTTCGTGTTTGCGTGTGCACACTTCCTTTCTCTCTCTCTCTCTCTCTCTTCCCGATCCTCTGTCCCTCTATTCGTCACTCTTTTGACTCAACAATCCGAATCTTGTCGAAAACACGACAGCTTTGCTGCTGTTGTGGCTTCTTTCGGTCGTCTCCCCATCGAGTTTTCATGTCTCGATCCTGAAAAATTCCTACATCAACAAACTCTCGATAACCCAACCCCCACGACCCACCATGTTCGAGCGCTCATTCCGGTCCCAGGACCGTAGCCGCATCGAAAAGGCAGCAGCGCGGCTGGTGAAGAAGTCGAACTCGACCAAGGATCCGCATAGATTGGCGAAGCTACAACGGTCGTTTGCGGATGAAGCTCGGGCGGCGCAACCGGGCGCCGCCGCTACGTTGTCGTCGTCGTCGTCCCCGGTCGGCGGCAATGGCAAGAGCAAGAGCAACAAATCCCTGGCCCCCTCGCCTATCGTCACCTTGATGGTGGGCCGAGAGGGACGGCTGTTCGCGGCGCACGAGGACGTCCTGCGTCAGGCCCCCTTCTTCGACGCGGCCTGCCGGGACCGTCACTTCGTCGACGCACAGAGCAAGAGGATCTCCCTCCCGGACGAAGAACCCGAGGTGTTTTCGGCCGTCCTCGAATACCTCTACAAGGGCGACTACTACCCGCGCCTGGTGCACAACAGGCAGCGCAACTCTTGGGAGGTCGAGGATGCCCCCGTCAGTCGAGGCACCCCGTACGCTTCGTCTTCCCCCTACTCCCCCCCCTACGTCGATAACAACCCTTACCCCAACGGCGGTGGCCGCGCCGCCGCGAGCCCTCGCGGGCCGTCGGCCCCCACCACGGCCCCTGACGCCACGTTGTACGTGGCGGCGTGCGGGCAGGACATTCTCCGCGACACGGCGGTCTACTGCGCGGCGGACCGGTACGGGCTCGAGGAGCTGAAGAAGGTGGCTCTGCGCAAGCAGGGTCTGCAGGCCGGCATCGACGTCGGCACCATCTTGCGGTCCGCCCAGTACGCCTACGCGCACACGCCCGACACGGACTCGCGGCTGCGCGCTCACTACCTCGCCCTGATCATCCGGTGTCGCAAGACATTCAAGAGGAGCGGGACCATGCAGGCCGAGATGGAGCGGGGCGGCAGCAAGCTCTTTTTCGACCTCTTTGTCGCCATGTGCAACCACCTCGACGACGTCATCGACGTGAGCAACGCCCGCTCTCCGAAGACCATCTGAGACGGTGGTATGCTCTGTTGCTTCACAGGCGACTAAAACGACAAGCCCTAGAGGTCATGTGTTTTTCTTTTTACTCGATTTCTTTTCGTGTTGAGTGTTTTGAGCCGTCATCAACTACAGATTGTGATACCCCAGAGAAGTGCAACAAGGAAGACGGCGGATTCATTTTCGCAGGATAGCGTGGGCAGGCGTTCGGTTTATCATCAATCTCATTGCTCTTTTTGTGGTTCCCCCCCATCAGATTGAAACAGTTACCATTCGGGGGACTTGCTTTGGTCTCGTTTCCACTTCGCGAGAGGGTTGGTTTCGCGTTTCTTTCTGATTGCCACATGGGATTTGCGAGGGAATTAATGCACCGAGCATGGAACTTGCCTCCGACATCCTCAGATCTTATCCTCCCCTTCAGCCTGCTTCTCCACGCAGTCTCGGACTTTCGACACGACTCTCGTCTTTCCACGGCCGGGCCGGGGAACAGAAGCCCTCTGAACCATGTTCGGCGAGCTGGCTCTCCAATTGGACTGTCCCTGAACCGAAAGCTGGGAGGATCGAAACAGAAAACCCAAGAAGAAGAACGTTTGCTGCGCGTCTCACAAAAAACGAAAACAACAAAAAAAAAATCCCAGGAACCACCAACATTCGTTCCAAATTGCTCTCAATTTCATCTGCTCTTTTCGGTGTTTGGGAATACAAGGATAAGGGTACCGGCAGTCTTCACTCTGTTTTCAAGGAATCACGATCGCAAGGCGCAACAACCATCAACCAGACTGCTCATATCAGTTTCTTTCCAGCGCCCCTCAGTATTTAACCCCGCTCACCACTCACCACTCACCACTCCACTCCGTCCTGGATCAACCCGGGAGCAGCAAGGAGCAGCAGCAAGAGGAGGGAAAAAGACAAAGACAAATCATAACGAATAACGAAGCATTCCACAGGTTGGAGGCGAACCTCCTTTCGCTGGCACGACAACCAGATTCTCGAAGAAACGTCGGGACTGGTGTCTGTTTCCTTTGTTTCTTTCGCTAATGAACGGATGGAGATTTCATGTTGGGAGGGGATCTTGGCCTGCAGTTGGAGTCTACTTCACAAGGACGACAACAACAACCCCGCTACTGCGATACAGCTAGCGGTCTTCTTTGTATTTTACACACTTGCAGTTTTGTTCGTGGAAAAAGGCGAAGGAGATGGATGATCTTGATGATTGTCGGGCCGCGCCGAGACAAGCTCCCTAGCGGAGCAGGTCGTCTGTAGAGCGCGCGGCACCCGGCCGGCTTGAGCCCTCTAATCAGGGCGAGGTAATGAGAAAAGTCCCGGCCGCCCCTGTTTGATGATCATGTCCCTGGTGATGACTGATGGATGACCGTGACTGATTGACGTTGCATTGTTTGTGTTCCCTTGAACTTCCACACTTCCACACTTCCACATATATCAAGTCTCATGTACCTGCCCTGTCTCTCTGCAAGGGGATGGCGTGTTCAAGCACAAAAAAAAAAAACTCGCATTTTCTCCAACTCCTCAGCGCCAGTTAATGTCGAGGTCGGAAAATTCAACGGTGAGGCTGTCCGTCACATTGGTCGCGGGCCTCGCCACATAAGCACCCACGGACAAGTCCCACTCGCCGTGGCCTTCCTCGACGGAAAACCAGCACACCTCCCGCAGGGGCTTCCTCTCGCCACTCTCGGGATGCACGTAGTAGACCCAGGCGCTGTGGCCATTATGGTCCTCCTCCCGCTCGATGGTCACGGTGACGTTGTGGTCGAGCGGACCGAGGGCGGCGAGCGGGGAGACGCTCCAGTCGGCGTAGCGGTCGCAAGCAACGGTACTGACCTGGGGCACGCCGTTGTAGAGCTCGACTCCCGTCTTCAGCCATTTCTGCGGGGTGGTGTTGGAGGAATGGCGGGGCTGGAGGACGAGGACGAGCCCGGCTTGGTCGTATTGTTCGGTCCATTTACCGCTGAAAGTGACGCTGGCGGAGTGGAAGGCGGAGAGGGGCTTGGTGGATCTCAGCTTTGTGGGAGCTGCAATATCACATAGTCTCGTTCAGCTGGTCATGGCCCATTCTCACAGTAGTGACTGTCGGAGCGAGGGGGATGGGAAAGAATAGTCACTAGGCACATGTGACATACCGTTGAAGACATCTGTGGTAGGAGGTTTCCTCCAAATATCGGTGCCTGGTTTGGCAGAGAGGGTGAATGACGGCATGGCAGGCAGTGGGAATAGAACAGAGGCAGAAGTAGAAGTAGAAGCCGAAGCATAGGAAGAGGCCGAGGCAGAAACTGAAGATATTACGAGTGGAGGACTCGAGTAGGTTGAGAGTTAAAACGCTGGGCAGACGGTCCTTTGATTCTTTGAAGTCTTTTGAAGTGAAGTGAGATGAATAGAGTGAAGTCAGTCCTTGGGGTGAACAAAATAGTCAGGGATAACAAGGATGGAAGAACAGCCGGAAACTTTCTAGCCAAGCCAGGGCCCAGGGGGGATTTGGGGATAATCAACTAACGTGGTGGGTGCTTCCCCGCATCGCTGCGTTAGTAGTGAATTGATGGTGAACCGTGAAATATGATGTCGAATCACGAATGTGAGACATGGACCTGATCTTTCCGTGCTCCACGGAATATCGAGCCTCGGAACCGGGAAGAAGGGGGTGTGTACAGTACTGTGTAGCCGTCTATTGAAGTATATCTTGACTTATTTCATTTATGATCAGAGTAAACTGCTACGGGTTGTGGTCATGGTTATAAAGGAGAATAGAATAGGAAAATAACCGAGTATGGAGGAAGAAAAGTCGAGGTCTGGTTTCGAACCGAGAAGCCCCATAGAAATGATGAGTCATCTTAGATAGTGCCGCCACCAGTGTTCTTATCGAATGCGGGGTAAGGGCTCGCGTCTTTTCCCCTCGGCCAAAGGAGTCTCGTCGCCGACCATCAATGAAATTTTCCTCCATTCGTCGCACTACCCAACCCCCCCCCCCCCCCCCCCCCCCCCCCCCCCCCCCGCCACCTCCAGTGCGTCCTTCAAATCCCGCCAGCATCACCCATCCTATTTATCGATCGTACCGGCCTACAGCTCATTGCCCAATTGAGCGAGGAAGCAGAGGCCGGATCCAACAAAAGGTCGAGCACATCCTCAGCGAACGAACGAACCCTGGTCGCGCAGTACGCCCACAGAAAGGGGAAGGGGAAGAACAGGGGACGATCATCAACACCATCATTATATCTCGTCCTGAGTCGTCCATCGCTCACTCAAAGAACACGTGCAACTACACGACCGCACAGCAACTCTTAGAGCCCTGTACTTAGACAACGGCGTCTCGATCATCCTCATAGTCGTCCATCTCATTCACCCTAAGCAGACTTTTACCTCACTACCACCATCTCATGAGCATCAGATTCACTTCCACGATCCACCATGCCGCCCATGCTCAAGAAGAGTAACTTCAAACCCAGAAGCCGCATCGGCGAAGCCAGACTCCGCGCTGAGCGGGAAGAGGCCAATGCCCGCGCCGCCAAAGAAGCATCTGCCGCCGCCGCTGCTGCTGCCTCTGCCGCTGCCGCCGCCGCCGCCGCCGCGAGCCAACGACACTCCATCGCCGTCGCTTCCACCGGCCCTCAGTGCGCCAACAAGGCATGTACCCAGCCCAAGGTCGTCGATGGCGTTTGCCAGAACTGCGGCGTCGTCGCCGACGAAAGCAACATCGTGGCCGAGGTCCAGTTCGGCGAGACCTCCTCCGGCGCCGCCATGGTCCAGGGTAGCTACGTCGGCGCCGATCAGGGCGGTGCTCGCACCCTGGGTCCCGGCATGCGACGCGCCGGCGGCTCCGACCACCGCCAAAAATCCCTGGCCGAGGCCAAGGCCATCATCCAGGGCTACGCATCGCGCCTGAGGATCGCCGCCCAGCATGTCGTCGATGTCGCCGTCCGCACTTTCACTCTCTCCTCCCAGCATGGCTTCACCCAGGGCCGGCCCCTCCCCATGGTCTGCGCCGCCTGCCTCTACCTGGCCTGTCGTCAGGAGAAGAACCACGTCATGCTCCTGGACCTGGCCGACCTGACCCAGATCAACGTCTTCCGCCTGGGCCGCGCCTTCAAGGTCCTCCTCTCCAAGGTGCCCACCCCGGGCGTCGACCCCGTCTTCCCCGAGGACATCATCCACCGCCTCGCTGCCAAGCTCGAGTTCGGCACCGACGTCACCAAGGTTGCCGAGGATGCCCTCCGCCTCGTCTACTCCATGCGCCGGGACTGGATCGTTATGGGCCGCCGTCCCTCCGGCATCTGTGGCGCCTGCCTGCTCATGGCCGCCCGCATGAACAACTACCGTCGCACCGTCCGGGAGGTCGTCTACGTCGTCAAAGTCACCAGCCACACCATCATGGAGCGCATGAAGGAGTTCAACGAGACCACCACCAGCAAGATGACCGTCGACGACTTCCTCGCCGTCGACCTGCGCCAGTCCTCCGCCCTGTCCCACGACCCGCCCTCCTTTTACCGCAACTCCGACGCCTACAAGCAAAGGATACAGGAGCGCCGGAAACGTAAACGCCCCGTCACCGATACCGGTGATGGCCTTCGAGACGCGAGCCGCCCTAATCCCGCCACCGAGATCGAGCGGGGGGCTTCCCGGTCGACTAACGGCAGCAACACTCCATCAACCCCATCACTATTACAATCCCAATCCCAATCCCAATCACAATCACAATCACAGTCCACATTGGCAACCACACCAGCTTCGTCTGCCCCAACCACCGGCCTTTCTTCCGGCCCCGACCTCTCTTCCGTCCCGAACCCGGCAGACTCGTACCGCCGAGACAAGGACGGCTATCTCATACCCCCAGTCCCGCCTCAAATCAACGCCCAGGAACCGGCTTTGCGCGGCGCCGACGATGCCGACTTTGAAGGCCTCATCAACCAATTCGGAGAAGCCATGGATGCTGCGGAGCAACAAGACGACTCCCAGCACGGGGATCATGACGGCGATCAAGACGGCGATCAAGACGGAGAACCCACGTCTACGACCACATCCAGACCTCGCGGTCGACGCCCCAAGGCCCCCCGGCCAACCCTGCCCATCAACGAGGAGTGGGAAGGGGACGAGGAAGACATCGAGGACGAGATCTCCGAGATCATGAACGACCCGGAGACCATGGAGCACGCCAAGGCCTACGGCAGCGCCGAGCAGCGCGCCCGCCTGCACGCCATGTGGGCGCTCCAGAACGAGCCGCACAAGGAGGTCTCCATGGCCCCCGTCGTCGAGGAGGACGAGTTTGCCGACGACCCGGAGGTGCAGAACGCCATCCTGACCCCCGAGGAGGCCAAGCTGAAGGAGCTCCTCTGGGTCAACGAGAACAAGGACTGGCTGCGCGAGAGCCAGCAGCGCATGTTCCAGCGCAAGCTCGACGCCGGCAAGCCCAAGCGGCCCCGCAAGCGCACCAAGGCCCGCCCCGGCGAGGCCCAGACCTCGCCCGCCGGCACCCCCATCGAGGCCGCCCAGAACGTCATGAAGCACCACGGCATGTCCAAGCGCATCAACTACGACGCCATCTCCAGCCTGCTCGGCAGCGGGCCCGGGGGCAGCCCCGCCCCCGCCACCGCCACCGCCAGCGGCCAGACCAGCAAGGCCAACAGCACCTTGGGCGATGCGTTCCGCGAGGACGAACCTCCCCAGGACGAGGCCGACGAGTTTTCCGACTCCGATGCTGGGGACGAAGACGAGGCGCAACGGGACTACAACGACTACGGAGACGATTACGATGATTATGAGAATCCGGACGTGGACGAAGACGATTACGGGCAAGGCTACGAGGAGGACGAGTAGTGGTCGACTCGTTCCACGCTGTCAGTCTACTGCCATGGGTCTACTGTACTGATAGAGCAAAGATAGTTGTTGGTGGAGGAGGCGAAGTTGGTGAGGCGGATATCTGATAGCGTACATGTACATGGGGAATCGATAATTCATCAGACCGACTCTTGGCCCTCGTCTAGTGATGGCGTGATATCTTGTTGACACGGATGAAGCGTGTGATATGGTGTCGTCGTTAATAAGAAGCCCTTGGAACTCCTTGTTTTGCATCTTCTACGCAACGCGTTTCTACTTGTAATAATGCCAAAATCCAGGCAATTCCCCGCCCATATCCCAACGCTAAACAAGTTCCAGCTCCTTCGTGTTACCTCCCGAGTCCCAGTCCCTCTATCCGATCATGGTAATGCCGGAAATATCACCCCCAAAAGCAAGCCCAAGTCCAAGCCAACAGAGCCCTCTCAACTGGCTTCCATTCGAGCTTGAAACCATCGCAACGTTTCCAGCCCCGTCTGCACTCGCATGCCTATTCTGGCATCGAACAGGAACGCCTCGCCGCGTACAACGACGTCCAGATGCTCCTGAGCCTCTCGGGCTTTCGCGAGACAACACGCCCGGAGCTTCGCCTCGGACGTTTCTCCGTTGCTCTTCTCGCTCTGGGAATCAGCTCCCGTCGCCCCGTCCACCTGGACCGCGCATGCTTCGGCCCACGCGATGACACCGAGCTCGTAGTGCGCCAGGGGCCAGGAATAGTCATCCCGTAGTGCTCCCTTTAATAATGATCTGCACATGTGTCAGCTTTGAGCCTGCATCGATCAAAGACGAAAAAGAAGGGGGAGAAAAAGAAGGGGGGGGGGGAAAGAAGGGGAAGAAGAGAAGGAAAAAAACGTACCGGTCATAACAGAGCACCTCATCCTTCAACAGAGACCTGGCCTCCTCCAGCTTCCCCTCAAGCCGAAGCACCCCAGCAAGGTTAGCAGCCCGCACGGCCTTCTCATCCGGGTTCTCCTTCATCCTGCGAACCCCTTCCTCGCCGGCGGTGCAGCGCTCCCAGGCGAGGCCGACGCGCATACGGCGCAGCTCCTCGGCGTCCATCCTCTTGGGCCCGCACCACAAGGCAGCCATCTCAAGGGCGGGGCTGGGCCCGGCAGCGTCGGCGAGCGAGACGCCCAGCTCCTTGGCGCGGGCCTCGAACTTGTCAATCTTGCGCTGCACGAACATGTCGAACGGCATGGGCTTGGCCATGAACTTCTTCCGGCCGGCCACGGTGGGCGCCTTCCGCCACAGCTCCTCTACGCGCGTCTTCCGCCTGCGCGTCTCGTCCTCGTCGGCCTCGGCCTCGTGCACGGCGTCGCGGTAGCGTTCCAGCTCGGCGCAGCCGGCGAGGTAGTAGTAGAGGGAGTGGCTCCAGTCGTTGAGCTCGAGGCAGCGGAGGGCCGAGTCCCGCATGAGCGGCCAGTCCTGGGCGAACATGGCGTCCAGGGCGAGCTCGAAGGCGTTGAGGGCGGCGACCTGGCGCATCTTGGCGGCGGGGCCGGTGGTCAGGGTCTCGATGGCGTCGCGGAGGCGGCATTCCTGGGCGAGTCCGCGGGCCTCTTCGATTCGCCAAATCCGGGACTCCGGGTACCGGCGGCGCATCTCGGCGAGAAGGGCGGCGCATTTCTCCCGGGGGATGCCGACGACGTCCGTCTCTGTGTCATGGCTAGTGTCGCCATCACAGCGGGCCGAGAGGATTTGGTCCAAGATCGACGACGAGGATAACGAGGGGGGCGAGATGGGAGGTAGAATGTCGGCGGTACCGAGAAGACCATTGTAGTAGGCCAACAGAACGAGGCCGGAAGCGGCGCCGTTGATATTGTGAAAACGAGTGGCGCTCCATAGCATACTCACGCCACGAGACCGGTCGCCCTGAAAACCGATGATGGAGAGCAGCCGGGACATGGCCGGGGGCACCATGCTGATGAGGATATGAAGGAGGCCATAGCACATGTTGGCGCCGGAATGGATGAAAATGTCGAGGGGGTTGGTGAGAGCGGGAGTGGCGGCATTGGCGTTGACATTCGTACCAGCGAGTGGTCGGGACTTTTCGCCTTCTTGCAGTCGCAACTGCGACAGGTCCTTTTCGAGCGTAGAAGGCGAGGAAGGAGGCGGCGCATCGGTTAGGGGTAATTGTGATTGTGTGGGGACTGGTTGAGCCTCGGGGATTTCTGCGGCTGCCCGCTTCTCATCAAGGACGTCGACGGCATCGCCGTTCTTGTTGCCGCTCACCGTCTTGGGGAACATGTCGGCAAACTCCGACTCGTCAAAACTCCCAGGCATCGGGTCATCCTCCACCGGGTTAAAAAGCGGCGCCGGTACCGATCCCGGTGCCGATGTCGAGCCAGACGTGGGCGAAAACGCCTTCCTTTCCGCCTGAGCAATGGCATCCAAAGTAAGGTACGCCTTCCGAAGCTTATAGAAACCCTTCAGAGCCTCCGTCAAACTCTCATGCAGCACAGACACGACGGCAGACATGAGCTGTGTCTCGGCGGCAAGGAGGGTGTACTCGGTCCCGGGGGCGTAGATGTCGCTATGCCTCTCGTCCTTCTTCTGCGCCGCCTTGAGCTCGGCCCAGGCCCTCGCCTCGCATTCGGCCAGCTTCGCGGACGCCTCTGCCATGACGTCCTTCTCGAAGCCCATAACGGCGCGCATGAAGCAGGTGAGGGCCAGACCGAGCATGTGGAACGGCGAGTCGCCCTTGGCCAGGGCTTCCGTCGCGCCCTCGATGTCGTCGTTCATCACGAGGCTCACGGCGGCTAGGGCATCTTCTAGTTCGGCAGCCTTCTTGGTGGCGCGGAATCTGGTTTCGGCGTCGACATCATCGTCCTGGATGCTGAGCCTGGTGGCGTCGCCTTTGCTGCCTTTGGATCCTTTGGTCCCTTTGCTTCCACCGGCGGAGGAATCAGCAGACACGGCGGCTGGTGTTGATCGAAACCAGGAGCTGAGTTTGCTCATGATGAAGAGGCTAGAGTTGGGCGAGATTTCGCCCTTTAGGTGTAGGGGGTAATAAGAAGTAAAAGGCTCAAGGGCTGAGATGAGAGTGAGAAATAAACCTCCGCGATGATGTACTTTCGAGGGTTCCTCGTCTTATTCAGCAGGTTGAAATGAAAGTATGTACTCGTACAGTCTGGTACTTCGCTTCGTGCTCAGTACTTCGAATGTACCAAGATGCGTGGGGGGTCCAGACTTCAACCCTCAAGTCGACAGAGGAACTGAATGGGGCGATATACGTACAACGAACCCAAGGGGCCGGATAGGGAGGGCTAAGGAGGTCAAAGGAACATCTTCCCAAACCCTTCTAAGCCGTGATGTACCAGAGACCAACTGTACCTTGCCTTAGACATAGAGTGTAGCTCGGATGGGACCCCGGAAAAGCTTGTTTAGTCGCGAGATGATGAAAGTTAGACATAAAGCATCAGGGCGGGCTTGGGTTTGAGAAAGGACAAAAAGGAGAAAAGGAAAAGGAAAAGGAAAAAGAAAAGAAAAGAAAAGAGACGCAAGCGAAAATAAGAAGGGGGAAACTACCCCCGATTCAAAAGAAAAGCGGAATCCCGTCAAGTTAGACGCGCCCGGACCTCCGGCAATGCCGAGCTGCCCGCACCTCCGCGGACTCTTAGTAATCAACCCCTTTTTATGTATTGTGATTTATTATGTATTTTGTCTTGGTCGACAACAACTCCCCCAGAATTCCACGAAATTATTAATGATATAAACAAGAAACAGAAAGACAAGTCAGACACAAAGAACCCAAATATTGAAACATTGACTATAATCCCTGGGTCATTTTTTTTTTAAATCTACCTGACCCAGATATACAAAGACCGCCTGGTATATCCATGATCTTGTCTCTAGTGTTTCCATTTCCTTGGCCCATATTGTCGTAGCTGATGGACCAGAATGCCCCGTATATCCTTTCCGTCTTCCGAGTAGTAGTACTACGGACTCTAGTAGCATCATGATAAGTTCCTTGTCCGTCAGATGAAGTAGCCCTGAACGCCAACCTGTGCCGTACCCGCAATGAACAGGTGGCCCCTTTATACAAACGAGGTAAACTCGCATCCATGCCACGATGCGAGAGATCTCGTCCATCCCCCGGCTCTCAAGCCTCAAGCTCACAATATTCTTTCCACTTTAGTTTCTTTTTTTTTCCTTCAAGCCATATTCCACCGTCAGCCCTCCGGCGCCAGCATCTCACTTGACCTTCAGCCCAAACAAGGTACCTTTCCTGCGCACTCTTGGCTCGGCTCCCTCCTCCCGTCCGCTGGCGGATGTAGTACCCGCACGGGTCGGGCCCTTCGCTTCCCTGTCCAGCTCGGCATGCACCTTGTCGCGCCGCTCCCGACGACGCGTCTCGATCGTGTCCTGGTCGAGGTGGTTGAATCCGTTCCGCCGTTTGAAGCACGCCTCAATCACCGCGTTGGCGTCGAGGAGCCGTCGGGGCATCGCCTGCACGACCCCGAACATTTCCATCGGGTCTTTGACTGCCTTGATCTCCGCCTCTCCCAATTTGAAGATGGTCAGGGCCACCCGGAACAGCGTCTTGGAGCCTTCCAGGAAGAACACGTCCCACACGCGGAGGGTCGTCTCGATCGGCAGCGTGCCGATGAAGCAGCTCATGAACCACGCAGTCATGCAGAGCGTGATCGGGGGAAGCCGGTCGGTCGACTTGGTCGGCACGTGCTTGCGTCGCGATGTCACCATGCGTAGCGAGCTTCCCGTGGTCGTCGTCTTCGTCGTGGGGCGTATCGCGTTCGGGTCGGCGTCCATCTCGTCTCCAATCTTAGCCCACACCGCCGGCATAGTCTCTCGTATCGTGCTCATGAGGACGCCCAAGTCCACCTTGGAGCCCTCCAAGCTCGTCTCGTGCGTGCCGGGGAGATAGACCCGCGTGATCACGTTGAGGAGCCAGAACGACTGCTCCTCCGTGTCCATGAACAGCAGAAGAAGCCCCGCCAAGAAATTGAGGCTCTGGCAGTATCCAATGCGCGGGTTGTAGATGGCAAAAGCCTGAAGCACACGTCTCAACGACGAGATCATCCTGGGCTCAGACTCGACAGCATCGCCATTTTCATTGCTGTTGCCGGGCTCTGTGTTTGGTGCCGAGGCCGAGTTCGCCGGTTTGAAGTGAATATTGTCCGGGAATGTTCGGTGCAGGTCGCGCTCGATCGCCTCCACGTCCACCGGCTTAGCCGTCTTGCGCAACAGCTCCTCGTACACGCCCGAGTGCTTCGAGAGGATCGCCGGCCCGCCAGCGTAGTAAAACCAGGCAGCGCCCCTCCAGTCGGGAGGGATCCCCTTACGGACAAACCGCTTCGTCTTGGCCGCGCTTGGCTGTGGGAACCGGATAGGTCGGTCCGTCAGGAGGCCGCTGTCCTTGTGAAACGCTATCCACTTCCTCCGCCTCCGTGCGAGGTAGTCGCTGTATTTATCGTTCCAGGCATCGTACTGCTCCCTCGTAATGTACTGGTTTTGTTTCCGAAATCCGTATCGGTCTCTCGAGTTGGGATCTTCTAATTCTACCGTCGAGGATGGCGCGGAAGATGCGGTGACGCTGGTGAGGTTACTCGCATGACGCATAGGCAAGGATGCGGGTAAGGGTGAGGGTGAGGGCGAAGTTGAAGGTGAAGGCGAAGGCGGACGCGATGGAGAGGGCGATGGAGAAGGTTGCGTTCCGTGTAACGATTTCGCCGAATCCCGCTTGTCACTCTCCGCACACCCTTTGTCGCTCTCGGCCTCCCTTGTTCCCGAGTCTGTGACATCCGTGTCGCTGGCGAGTGGTGACGGCGGCGTTGCGGCGGTGGCGCTGAACGTCTCGGTAGACTCACGGACGAGAGGTAACATGCCAGGAACTGTACGATTCCCGGTTCTCGTGGCGGACTCTGCGAGCAGGGACCGATCCAGGGCTTCCAGGATTCGCGTGTTTCTCTTGGTCATCTCGGATTCCTTGTTTGTATCATCATCGTGGTCTTCGGCGCACGACGAGTCATGGAAGCCCTTCTCATACAGCCCCATGACGTCCTCGATGCTCGGCTCCTCCGAGCCAGTGCACATCGAGGCGACAGAGCTATCCCTCGTCGCAACACTACTTCTCTCCGTCGTCGCCGTTCCAGGGGCGCTCGATGCCGTCCACTGCGAACGATAGCTCGACCGGGACTCGTCTGCGCTCATCCAGGGAGCCATGTCGCGGCCATGGCTAGATGATCCCGTACCGTCGGTGCTGTTCGTCAGTGGGGGCGGTGGGGTCCGAGTTGTCGGCGGGACGCCGGCAGCGTGGCGTAGTTTCGACCGGCCAGGTTCGTGAACGTCGCTACAAGGCGGAAGGGGTGTCGAGGTCACGGGTGACGACGGGTTGGTTGCAGTTTGCGTGTTGGGCTCCTCACGATGCTGAGGGTGCTGAGGCTGAGGCTGAGGCTGAGGCTGAGGTTGAGCCTGTGGTCGAGGAAGAGACAGTGGCAAATGCAGTTCGGCAGAGTAGTCGGAAGGTGCTGCGAAGGGAGAGGGAAAATATGGTTGTCTGGCTGTGGGGGGGTCGAGGGCTGGTTGTGATTGTAGTAGCTGTGGTTGTAGCTGTGGTTGTAGCTGTGGTTGTGGCTGTGGTTGTGGCTGTGGTTGTCTAAGGCTCGGTTTCCGCGGACGGGAAAAGTTCTGCTTCGGCATGGGGTGGGCAGAGATTCGATCCTCCGTCTCTGGAAACCTCGCCGTCCTTGCCGACAGGGGAGGTTCGGCGTATGCATCGTGGGGGGAGCCAAGGTTGTCGTAAGCAGAAGCGACGGCGAGGGCTGCCTTGGACTTGGGAAAGTTATAAGTGCCCGAGTTGCCCAGAGCATCCCAACGCGGGGACATGGGCAAAGGGGGCAGCTGGTGCGGAGGTGGTTCGTGGGAGACGTGGTAGCTAGTCTGAAGAGGGGCGGCGGGGGGAAGGTCGGCGTTGGACCAATAAGGCAGCATCGGGGGGTTCGGCGGTCGGGAAGGATACAAGTTGAAGGGGCGGGTTCCGAGGTTCTTTTGGCGATCCACGAGGGTAGGGTCTGTAGGGCCTGTGTCGTCCATAGTGCTCACACAACGCCACAGCGTCAGGTTTGACTGTCGTCCGAATATCGAGCAAAGCCCCCAGAGCCGCTTTCAGCCCGTTGCCCACGCCCTGTAATGTCAGGACAAGAGGCCGGGCACCACCCCAAGCTTTGAGACGATTCCAGGACCGGAAACGGGGCGGTAATAGATATTTTCCTTTTTCTTTCTTCTTTGGGCTCAAAGGGGGGGGCGGGTTTTGGTGTTTCTTTCCCTGCCCCTTTATTGTGCAACGTGGAATTTCTTTTCTTGTTTTCTCGTTTTTCTCCACGCACTTTCGTTTAATGCCCTACTCGAATGTTTGGCTCGTGATCGCCGGGGCCAAGGAGCAGTAGAGTCAGGTATTTGTTTGGGTCATGCAAGTCGGCATCGAATCGGAATCGGTGCTTTGATCCAGTGATCATGGCGACTTGTGTGTATAAACTTGAATCGTTCAGTCTCTACATACCCGGCTCGGACGTAGCTGGGTTTCCGCCGTAGGAGATTGTGGGTGTGATCGACGGGGGCTAGAGACGACAGCGCGGTTGGTTTTGATCCGGGGCTTCTTTTGCAGACAGGAAACCGGAGGCACTGTTCTGGGAGGCAGCACAGTCAAAGGTCAATAGTGACGTGGTGCCGTGATGCTCGAAGAATCCTGTGATGGTGAGCGTAAAAAAAACCCCTCGATGAAATATTCAAAGAGTACGGAGGGGCTCGTAGTATAATGTCGGATCGTCCGGGTTTGCTTTTTTTTTGTCTCGAGTGGCGGTACCGTCGCTCCTTGGGGTCGGCATTCGTATATTGTTGGCGGTAGGAATGGAAGCAAATCCTGATAGGGAAGCGGCATGAAGCGATACGATGCAATATGTAAGGTACCTATGTGTATGTAGGTACCCGACGCGAGTACCTCGGGAAATCTGTGGAGAGGGTCAGTTCAGTTCAGGGGTTCGTCAGGCCAGGAACCAGGGGCTAAGAAATCTCCCAGGCTCCTTGAAGAGTAGGTAGGTAGGTTAATTTACCAGGAAGAGAGACAAACGGAACAAAGAGAATCAGGGGATCAGAATGTCCCGGACGCGAGCCGGCCAACTGCGTGTTTTAGGAATGCGTTTGACCTGTTCGTTGGGTCCTTGACTCGTTAATAAAAGGGAGGCTTCGGATTTGGCTCGCAGAACTCAGACTCACAGCCACAGACTCTTCTGTGTGTGGAGGCTTGGAGAGTGAGTGAGCGGGCTTTGGGCTTTGGGCTTCTGGGGCTTGAGTCGCGTCAACCAGGTCGATCCGTCTAGCTGTGCAACCAGCGCTCAGGCCCCCAACTTCTGGCCAGTAACAGATTGAGGATACTGAGCCCCGAGGTTTTCCCAGGTACATTGCAGGCGTCATCATAAGAATTGGACATCTCTTGGCCGAAGAGGGAGGGAGTGCCCGATGGGGAGTCGGAATGCAGGCATATCAATACAAGCGATTTTTAGCGGAATGAAGACCGATAAGGTAGTGGATGACGATGACAGTATGTACTCCGTGGTAAATGGGCTTGACACGATATTATTAAACAGTCCGTCGGCATTGGTGGCCCGCCCGCCAGTGAGAAAAAGTTGGAGAGAAAACCAAGAAGGTGAAAGGGGAACTGGGGACAGGAAATGAAGAAGTACACACCTCTAAAACATGACGTTTCTCGTTTCCATCGGAGACGATGTCAAAGCAGAAAACGCAAAAGAGAAGAGAGGGGGAAAAAATCCCCTCAGCAGCCACTATCCATAAAGACCTGCCATATGTACAAGTGAAATTTTGACGACGAACGGAGGATTATGATGAGGTCAATACTGTGCAGTGATGGGTATATTCCTGCATTCCTACCATATAACGCAGTAATAACCGTAATTACCTGATTAACGTCGATCCCGCCTTCCGACCTCGAACCGTAGAAGCACGAACGAAGCACGAAGTATCCGTACTTCGTCCAAATTCGTAACAGTCTCGACGCGGGCTATTCCAAGTCGTGTTTAGTTGTTTGATCCCCTTCAAACAGCGAGGTCCTAAAATCATATCAGAACTCACCCGCTGGGCATAGGTACTTCGTCGCGGACAAACGCCAACAAGACATCCCGTCAACACGCAGGGAGCTAGCACCGGGTAGGTCGGGTGCCTGGAAAAGTGAATACCTTACAGGAGGTAGTGGCCCCGTATTTACCCCCCCATTACGGGCTGTACTTTCCCGAGCTTCTGGAATCCATGACGAAGTACTGTATCATTAGCCCGTACCCGTACCTTACCTAGGTAGGTGTTTGTAAAGGGTATTAAGTACTGATACTACTGATAGCAGGGGAAGCCCAGAGATGACGCACCAGACATAACAATACACTTGTTAGACAGTCGCGTTAATAATAAACGGATCATACACTATTACGGATCAATAGATTCCTTCCCACTGGCATCGTTTGCTGCCTTCACACTCTCCCGTTGCATTTATGACTTGGTGTTTTGACAGGAATGGACCAGGCCAGTAACCCCTTCAGAGTTGAGCAGCAATCAGCAGGCATCAAATGGCTTCCAATGTCCCCTTTGCCTTCGCGCCGAGTCTGTCGCTATCCCAACTTGACAACGCCGAGGTTGGGTCTTATCCCGACCATCGCCATGCCTAACATCCGATGCACGGCCTCTGCAAAGCATTCGTTCTCGAGTCTCTCCCTTTCTTCATTTCTTTTTCCCATATTATTCGGCCTCCCGCCTTAGACTGGCGGCACATTAACGCATGACTCTTATCGAACTCCCTTGCTTACCTAGTTGCACCTTATGAAGTGGAAGTCCGTTTCTGTTTGAGACCGTTAAGCTTACACTGCTCTTGGCAGTATCTCAACGCAACTTCAGCGATGCTGATTCGCCGTCAAACGCACCCTTCCCGGCGAGATGTCCGAGACATAAAGGCTAAGGAACTCGTCTTTCCAACTGTGAGGTATTTGTCACCAGGACTGTCCCTCCCTGTATCTCAACCTAAGGTACCTACCTAGGTTACCTGGAATTGTTCAAATGGCCAAGCGACACCGCGACACCACTCTTGTAGCCTGACGGGGTGAGAATTATCTGGGTGACCCGATACGCACTCTGACCTTGGCGCTGGGCACGGGCCATCTCGAGTCGGGTCGGCCTTTCGGACATGGAAATACTATATCCCCTTGTCGATACTACGGCGTCGCCCGGTTTCTCGAACTCGGACTCTCAGCACAAACAAGATAGAAAAGCTTCTCCCGAGTGGCGCTCGTCAATACCCCAGAAGGAGACGAAAAGAAATTACTTCAACTTCTGTCACTGCTTTGGAATCGGGGGAAAATTCGGTTGACACACGGTACGCTTTACCAGAACATGTCCAAAAGAAACAAACGAAAAGAAAGAAAGGCGAGAAGCAGAGGGAGAGAAGGGGAGGAACGGGGCAAGTACGCACTCCCATGAGCACACACTCCTATGAGCAGTACGTACACCTACCGTCAGATGGGGGGGTTCAACAAGGAACTTGGAACCGTGCACGGAGTACGGATAACTTCGTATAGAGGGGGTGGGGCGGGGATGCAACGAGGGAGAGCTTACTTCGTACGGAGTACGGACTACGGACTAGGTACAAGTCACGGCTGAGAGACGAACCAAACGAACGCGGAGTTGATCGAGGTCGCGACGAAGGATGATGACATGCACGCACACACAGTACAGGTAGAGGGGGGCCCGAGCTCCCTGTCTCGACCACTTAGAGGAGCCAATCCGGTTGCTGCATTGATTTCTTCCAGCTTCCGCCCACCAGGCCCCAGATGATTGATGCGACGCCCGGGTTGCTAACCTCAGTACGAAGTACGATGTACGAAGCACGGTACGCACCTCCGAGTAGAGTACGAATACTACGGGAAGCTGAGCTCTCACAGTCCCTCCTCCACAGTCCCTCCTCTGCCCCGATCTCCCGTCTCTCTTGTTCTCTCTCTATCACGTTCTGTTCCCCATCCGACGCAAGCAGCACTATGCGCCACATGTATCCACCGGGCCCCGAGTTAAGGTTTTACCTTGCCTCCCATGGCTTTCACTAACACTCCCTTCTTTGCCTGATTACCATCGGAGCATCTCTTCCCCTGTCTTCAGCCATTCCGAGGGACCCCCAGAGCTCTCTTCTCTCGGTACCGGCTACTTTCTAGCCAGCCCTCCATCTCTCTCGCCCACCCTCCTCCATTAACCCCCAAGGTCCCCCCAAGGTCCATCGACTCTCCTCCCCCTTTCCTTCTCCCTTTCCCACCCAGATTCTACCCTACAGCCCTGCCGAACCATCCTATTTCCCCTCGAAAATCCCTCCTAGTCACGCCCATTGAAATCAAATCAAGCTACCTCAGCTCGCCATGTCTACTCGTAAGAGAAAGCAAGAAGAGGCAGAGCTCGTCTCTCTCCCAGAGGACGACAGCGAGGAAGAAGAGTAAGCCCATCCGCACTGTTCACGAGCCTCCGCATATCCCCCCTACTGCGGTGCGCCTCCTCATTTTCTACCTACACCGGGATGTCCTCGTGCTGGCGCTCTGCGCGTAGCTTGTAAAACTCGTTGTCCCCCGTTGCGCCGACATGCGCGCCCCCATAGTTCCCATTCCCGTGGATGGAGGGCGCCCTTTGCAATCTCATGCGCCAGCGCCTCACCCTAACAGGCCCCCCATCACCATCTTTGCGCAACGAGTTACGGAGACGCTGAACCAAGCTGACTGACCCACCACAGATACGAGGACACCGAGGGTGAGGAAGAAGAGGTCGATGATGATTCGGAAGACGAGGAGTACGAAGGCGGGGGAGAAGGAGGGCCTGAGAAGAATGGTGTAGAACGTAAGTCCATGGCTTTTCCGGCCCAAGACTTTCTTTCCATCGTTACCTACTATCTGCACATGCTGCGTCTATCCCTTTGATCCTTTTGCAACCCCTGAACATTTGCTAACCATGTTGCCCAGACAAACAACCTCCGGCCAAACGGCAGAAAGTCGCGGCAGAAGAGGACGAGGACGAAGAGGATGCAGGTGGTGAGGAGGACGAGGTGGAAGAAGAGCAGGAAGAGGAGCAGGAAGAGGAGGAGGAAGAGGAAGAGGAGGAGGAAGAGGAAGAGGGTGAAGGTGACGAGGAAGCGACCAACGGAGTCAAAGATTCTGCCCCGGCCAAAGGCGCCATCAGGGCTACCGAGGCGCCTGGCGACACCACCGAGGCGAAGGCTGTGGCGGCGAACGGCCACCACACCGAGGAGTGAAGCGCACACCTGTTATTAAAGCGCCGCTTTCTGTCGCTGTGCCTCCTTTTTGCTCTTCTTCTTTTATGTCGTTTGTTCTGGTATCACGGTCCTCGGCCCGATTTGGGGGCTTCGCGGTCTATCTAGATTAGGTTCTATTGTATGGTGTTCGTCGACCAAAAGACGCCCCTTCTAGGGGAAGAAACGAAGAGCAGCGGCCCGTTTTGCTGAGAAGACAAAGCTCCGGTCCAAGCTCTTATCCTCATCCATTCAGCTCCTCGAATCGTATCAATGCAATGCAATACCTCACAAGACCCCTACCACCTTGGTTCAACTGCTCCAGTAGAAGGACGAGATCCGGCTAATCTGTCTGTACCTGGAAGAAAAAGAAAAAAAAAACATACGTAGTCCTCTGCACTCCGCACACACCATGCGACCCGACCGAGGCCAAGCAGTCTCCAGCCTACCTAGATCCCGTATTCCGCCGTCTTGTTATGGTCTTGTCATGACTCCTGCTAGTCCCTAAGGTAGTCCCGCCCTATCTCACCCATGCACAGCAACCGGGTCGGCTCGGTGACCGAAAGCTATTATTGTCGTAGAGGATTCCACCGTCTTGCGTCTTGCATAAGCCAGTCTTCCCCCTGTGGCAGCTATCAGAACCAATAGCACCTGGAGAGCCTTTCACTCTCTATATGTGTTGGATTGACGGGCGTGTGATCCGGCCGGAGCAGAGATTCAATAGATGTATGATTGTATTCGTTATATAAAGGAAAGAAGAATAGGAAGGTGTAGGTGTTCTAAATACATCTACCCCTTTTCCACGCGAGGAATATAGGGCTAGTCTAGCTAATAGAAATATAGAAAACAGGCTCACGTGTTTTAAGTGCGATACACCCCCTAATTACTATACCCTGATTAGCTTAGTAATTACTTAGCCTAACCTCGCCGGAGCCTTATAGTTAATCTTAAAATAGCTTTAAAGAGTAGTTATGTATCCTTTAAAGTCGAGTTAAAAGGCAGGTAAGGAAGCTATAAAATAAGAAAGAATAATAATAATAGTAGTAAATAATAAAGGAAAGTACTATTTAAAGTAATTAGTAGATAGGGGAGGTGCCGGATATAAATAAGAGGGTTTTTAGGCTCTTCGTAGCCTTTTTTCCCCTCTTATAACTATAATCCTATTTTTAATGATTTTTCGTGGATTTTATACCTTACCTAATTTTCGGACTTTTTTCTTCTCTTCCCTCCTTAAATAACCGCTCTTCGTCCCTTAAACGCGCTATAGTAAGTTACCGGAGCTCTGATTCTTAATATAGGTACTGATAGTGCTTATTTAGGCCCCTTTAACCCGTGCGTCTAGTGCTAAGGTCGCTAGTGCTAGTCTAACTAAGCCTTCCGGTATAACTAAGACCCCTGGTAAAAAGCCTAATATAAGTGCTCTGGTCCCTTAGCTTCGTGCTTTTGTTTATAGTCGTAAGGCTCTGGTTACTAATAGTTTAGTAGACTCCTAAGAAGCCTACTAAGAAATCGACTAAGGCCCCTAATCTAAATTTTATACCGGTCCCCTTTAATCCTCCTTATATATAATACGTAAAAGGTATTTATTCGGGTAAATAAAGCTTATTTAACTATTATATTACCGTTAAAGGGCGCTTAAACCGTTACCGTAAGTGTTATAACGGTAACTATACATACTCTTAGGTATAAGTTTCTACCCCTTAGTTATCGAGATTTACGACCGTGGATAAAAGCTCCGGTTTAAATCCGGATTAAGGATCCGTGCTCCGGTGCGATTCTATTTACTAATAACCGATCCTAGTTATATTAGTATACTTTCTTTTACTAAGATACTAGTTAATATAGTATGTATTTATAAGATTAGAGTAGAATCTGCTAATAAGGACCGTAAGGTGCGTTTTTATTATTTTATTCCTTAACTCGAGTGCTCCGGCTAATATTTCCGGCGTAGTTTTTAGCTAAGTTAAAGTAGTATATTAAGTAGCAGGTTAAATACCTAGAGGAGGATAATACTAAGCGCTTTTTTAATAAAAAGAAGCTTAAATACGTGGCGGCTCCTAGCGAGGAGGGCTTAACTAAGCCTAGTTTTTCGGCTTATTCTAAGAGCTTAGTAGAAGAAGTTATAGCCCGCCGTCTTAGAGATTAGCTCTAATAATAGCAGTAATAGTAAAATATTACGCCCGTTATATCTTCCGGAGCCCTTTAGGGGTAAGTTATTACGCCGGGAAATAGCGCCGTTATTAATAGTTATTCGGTTACGGTGGATAGTAGTAAGGCTACGGGTAAGCCTATAGCTCCGGGTACTCCTAATAAAGCGTAGTGATAGTATTTATATTCGCCGGACGTTATTTTTTAGTTTTTACTTCTGGCTTTTAGGTGTTAGTAATTAGCTTTAGACGTTAGGGCGGCGGTATATAGCGATACCACGAATTTTTACTGAATTAACTAAGCCGCGGGCGTGCGGCGCGCCTCCGGCGCTGGATTTTAACCTTTAACTTCTCCGGTCTACCCCCTCCGTGTACTCGTTATATTAAGATATACGCGGAAGATCTCGAACTTTTATCGTGGGAGTGCCTTCGTTAATCCGTCTACCGGTATAAGACTTATAGCTAAATAAACTACCCTAAAGGTCTTTTTACTATATTTCTATTAAACCTATAAGCGTTAAATATCTATATATCTAAGCCGGGTTTCAATGCTATAGCTATTATCTACTATAAGCCTGATTATTTAAGTGTTATCGTAATTAATATCCTAAGGGGATTCGGGGTTAAAGCGTATCTCTACGAATAGACGCTTTAATCCTATTATTTCCTTCGCGACTTACCTTAGAGCGAGTAGCTCTGCTTCGGTTATAGACGTAGTAACGGTTACTTACCTAGTTACTTTCTATATAACTAATCCTCCGAATAAGCTAATAAGATAGCCTTATAAAGATTATTATATATCGATATCGTTAGTAAAAGAGTCGTCGCTCGCGATTATTATAGTCTATAAACTAATACTTAATCCGTACTAAATCGAGAGGTCCCTTATTATATAAAGGTAGCGAATAGCTTAATCCGCCGCTTTATAATACTCCGGGGATAGATTTCTAAGAAAGCGGGAAAGGATAGATACCGTAAAAGCTATATTAGGACGTATTATTACTAATATATATAGTAATAATCCGACCTTTTCCTAGTACGATTTAACCTCTTAAGCCGTGTCTTCGTCTTCTCTTTTCTGGTATTCTATAACGGGAACGGGAATTACTAGGTATATATTTATAGCGTTTAGATTAAATCTGGCTACGATCTTCTTAATGTATAAGTCGTTACTAAGCAGAACCTTACGCCGGGGGCGATCTCGCGTAATCTTAATCCCTAGGAACTATTCTGCGTTACCTTTTTCTAATACTTTAAATCTCTTTTTAATACCGTTAATAATCCTAAAGGCGTTTATAGCCGTGTTCTTATAAAATAGGACGAGGATATCGTTTATAAAGATAATAAACGTGTCTTAAGCTACTATATAAAACAGGTATAGCTTTTCTTTACTAGCCACTATTCTTAGATCCGATAACGTCGCTATAAAGGTATAAAACTATAATCGAGGTGAATCTTATAAGCTGTACAGTGCTTTATTAAGCTTTAAGCACTTATCTGGCTGCTTAAACCTATCTAGAAGCTCGTATATAATAGGCGTTCCCATTCTATTCCTCTCGGCGTTAACGAAGGCGTTAACGATATTTAGTTACTTAATCTCTAGGTTAAATTAAGCGGCTAAAACTATAATAATACGAAAAGACCTTATGGCGAGTATTACTATATAGGTTCCCTTATTTATTAAGCTTTCCTAGAGATCCCCTCGGATATATAGCCTTACCTTATATCTCTTAAGATACCCGCCTTAGTTAAACTTATAGGTAAATACCTATTTAAGTGGAAGAGGCTTAGACTTCGCCGCTACCCTATTAATTTCCCTCTATATACGTTTCTTAATTAGCTTATTAACCTTCTTCTACGCCGTTTCCTTAAACTAGTCGCGTATAGGGTGGTTATAAAGCTCTCTCTAATACCTTAGTATAGCCTTTAGGTAGTCTTAATAGACCCTGCTATCAAGTAAGGATTTCGGTGTTAAATCCTCCGTGGCGTTCGAATAAGCTTTTATTTTTATATCGGCTACTCCGAATATTACTAAGTAAAAGGATAAGAGCCCTTATATCTTATTATTGCGTACTTCTTATTAATTAGATAGGAAGAACGTATACGTTAAGGGTATTTCTGGCTCTACTACGTGCGTCCGTGGATTAATCCGAATAGTCTTCCCCTAAGCACGTTAATCTATAATTCGGGCGCTAACCCTTATTATATCCTTAACCTGTATACTCCGCTTACGTTAATACATGGTCACCTTAGGGTCGATGTTAGTTTAAGATCTGGATATTAAGGGCTAGTTAATACTATAACCTGGATTAGGAGTAGCTAGTTCCTATACCTTAGTCTACGCACTTCTTATACCTCTTTATTACTCCAGATTATCTATATTAAGATCTAGTATATATAGCTTTAACGTGTTAATAGCAGCGTCTCCTTCGGGTACTATAATCTATATAGAAAAGGGTTTAATTAAAAGTTCCTCCTACTATAGCTACGGCCCGGCGCCTTAGTCCTGGTTATTCTGGCTCGGCGGATTAGGTATAGCGTATAGGGTTTAGAGTCCTATTAGCACGGGCGGTTCGGGTAGCCTATTATAGCCGTTAATAGTTATATCGGTATCTAATAGTTCCGGCGCCTTTAGAATAGTACTAGCTACTCTTACCCCCGAGTCTAAACCCGTAGACTCTACTTAATCTTTAAAAGATACGCTGCTAAATAGGCCGGCGGGCGGTTCTACTTATAGGATAAATTCGGTATTCTTATCTTTATAGTCTTCGTAGGTTATAAGCTAGTTCCTCGCCTCCGCCTCCATAATCTACTCTACTTCTTCGAGCTTTAAGTTATAAAATAACCGCTTATTAAACTATACGTTACGCGTCATTATAACCTTCTAAAGCTACGGGATCTATATCCTATAGATATTATAGGTAATATATCCTATAAGATACCTAATATAGCCCCTTGGTTAAATCTTATATATCTTTCTCTCTCTTCTAGCCTCCCTATTCCTATCTAAGGGATAGGCACGGTAACCGTAGGTATAAATACTACTCTAATCTAGCTATAGGTCGGCGGAATACTCTTTTATCTTAAGCGGCGCGTGCTTTTTAAACTATAAGTCTAGTACCTCGATAGGAGACTTCTAACCTAGGCGCTACGATAGACTTATATTATAAAGCTACGCCGCCGCTTTTATACTCTCCGGCTATATAAAACCTAGAAGACCTACGCTATTTAGTATAGCGTTAGACTTTATAATAATAGCTTATCCTACCCTCTCGATAGCGTTATTCGGTTTATAGGTATATAGAGGCGTGATCTCTATATTAATACCCTTTATACTCGTCTATAGCTAGGTCCGCGAATCCCCTACTATATACACGGATTAAAGGCTTATTATTACTACGTATCTTATAGACGTATAGGTTAAACTAACGCGTAACCTATTTTTTAAACGCTTTAAGGGCGTCATAGACCATAACGCTATTTTTTAACGCTAAAAGCAGTATATAAATCTAACCGCTATACTCCTCCTTTATAATAAGGAGATAACGTAAACTATTATAACTCTCCGGTAATTCCTATAGGTCCTAATAAATACGCTAGAACGGCCTAGACGAGCGGTAATCTAATAGTCGATAAGACACGACCTAATAAACCTATATTTAAGTATAAGTCTTACACTTAATCCGCTTAATGCCTTATATTAGTATATTCCTAGCGTTACGAATTAGTGCTCGGAGAGCTTTTAGTCCTAAGTAGCCGGCCCTTAGGTGCTATAGCCTCTTTTCGTTAATACGTGGATAAGGGGAATCTTAAGATAGTCGAAATAGCTTCGGAAACGGCGCTTTTATCAGTTAATCGATAGCTATTACTAGTATATAAATATAATCGTAGCTTACGGGAATCACGCCTTATAGTATTAGTTAAACATACGGGTAAGAAGAAGAAGAGGATAAAATTAGTTTATATTAAAGAATAGTTATATTAAAGCATCATAATAGCTTTAATAAAACCACGCTCTTATCCGCTATTCTATATCGTAGTAAGTAGTTATATCCCGAATACTAGATCCTAACCTTATATAATAGAGCTTCCGAGATAATATTCGTGTAAAATCCCTCCACCACGATAATGTCGTTAAGCTCTAAATCGATTTTCGGAGTACCTAATAGTTTATTAAGAAGGCCCTTAAAGATCCGTTTACCTCGATAATAGGGAATTCCGTAGTACCGGATTTAATAGTGATATTTATCAGGATAAAAGATCCGGGAACGAGTAGGTTAATTAAGTTAACTAAGTATATCGCGCCGTAGTTATCTAAAAGGGTGCTATATAAGAGCGGGTAAGCGCTAGATCGTAGCGCCGCGTAGATACCGGGAACTTCCCCTATGTCGTAAATAAGGGTTAGGTCTAAGATAGTTATAATAACCTTTAAGGGGTATCCGTTACCCTTATCGCTACTCTTACCGGCGTTTCCTTATCCCTTCTTTAATAGGGTTTCTCGTAGACTTTTCCACTTTTATTACTATAGCTTTTTCCGGATTTATTCGATATAATTATCGCTTATCTGCACGGATAGCTACTACTCGTATTTACCTATAAGAGTATACTTTACTCTATTATAGAGCTCCGGCTTCTATAAATAGGTCCTATTATAGGGGTATTTATACCCTTTACTCTTACCTTTCTTCTCTTTTCTACTACTATCGTCGTTTTTATCAGAGCGGTCGCCTAGGGTAGCGTAAACGCTATACCTGGTTCTATTAAGGCTAGGAGTGCTTATAATCGTGTTAAATTCGTGGCCGTATATTAGGATATCGTTAATTACTTCGTCCTTATTCTCCTTACGGGTTAGTTCGTAGAACTTAGCCTCTACCTAAGCTAAGGTAAAGCGCTACCTAACTACGATAAGGAAGTTACGGATAGCTATAAAACCCTTAACATCGTTTACTTTATACTAACGATAGCGCCGGATAAGAGTATTCTACTCCGTATACCACGCTACTACCTTCGTATTAGCTTTTCGGGTATCCTAAAGGTACTTATCGTAGGCTCGATAAACCTCCTTAACTGAAAATAATACACTAAGAGCGAAGTATTTCTTTAATTCCTTTATTACTTAGCGTATCGTGAAGTAACGGTTTTATTTCCCCTCTTCGTAATTAGGGTACTTCTTAATAGCTTTCTTAACAGCTTATTAGTAGGTAGAGATCTTAATAATCGCTTTAAGTATATAATTAGCTTTATTAAGCGCCTTAATCGATCGGGCGAGCTTTTAATTATATACCGTAACCTTATAGCCTTCTAGCTTAGCGAGCTTGATTAGTTCCGTTACAGTAGGAGGGGTCGGTACCCCGTTAATAACCTAGGTGTATTTTTCGCGTAGTTAGTCGATAGATATAAGTATAACGTACTCGGGTCGGTTATCTAGCTACTCCGGCGTATTAGGGTTAAGTAAGGCCTAGACCTTTATACTCTGCGTATATAACTTAATATAGAAGATCTAATTGGCCTACTACCTAATAGACTCTAGCCGCGGTATACTAAGCGCTTTAGCGGTGACTTTAAGCTTCGTGGATATAGTTTATAGCAGGGGTTTAGCGAATAAGGGCTTTTCTAAGCGAGAGAATAGGGTAGATACTCCTTAATTAGCTACGGAAGTATATATAAAATAGATACACGTAGATAATAGATTAGCAGGAAGTTACTGGTTACTGCTACTACCCGGGCTTATAACTATTGGATTAACGGGCGTGTGATCCGGCCGGAGTAGAAATTTAATAGATATATAATTATATTCGTTATATAAAGGAAAGAAGAATAGGAAGGTATAGATATTCTAAATATATCTACCCCTTTTCCACGCGAGGAATATAGGGCTAATCCAGCTAATAGAAATACAGAAAACAGGCTCACGTGTTTTAAGTGCGATAATATACCCCTGTCTTATGTATTCGTTCTGTTGAAGTTGCGTTTTTTCTCGACGGCACGCTGAAATACCAACCATTGACTTGGCTATAAAAGTCTCTAAACAGACGTGGGGTTTCCTCGAAGCCTTGACCGATAGAATAATTACTTCCTCCTCCATCGCAGCCACTTCACATAGGATCCGGTTCCGACTTGGAGACATTATCGTATTAGGACATTAGGATACATACTTCAACGATCCACTGGGTCATAGCCAGTCCTCCCATATATCAGGGACATGCCCTCTAGATACCTTCCAGGCAAATAGGCCACAGGAATACTAATAACACATGCCCAGCGCAGGGGGGAAACGGAAAAATAAATCGACCCGGGACTCACGTAATCTTTACCCTGACAGCTGGCGCCTTCAAATCAACTAAACCCAAGAAACGTTGGGAAAATAAAAACAGAAAAAGAAATGAAGAAATGAAGGGAAAAAAGCTGCCAACTCGGCGTCGGTCGTACGCATTCTCGCACGTAGCAGACCGGCTCCTCACCTCTCACCTCTCACCTCACACCTCACAAGCGTCGCCCGCCGACCCCTCTCCTCCCTCTTCCCCCCATGCCCCGTCACCCGCATCCAATCCTCCCACTCCTTGCTAATCTCCATCAGCACGGAGCCCATGACCGTCGCACTGGCCATCAAGCCGTGGCCCTCCCCTTCCAAGACGCGCACTTCGCATCTCCGCATAGTCTTGCCCAGCCACCGCACGTTGTCGACCGGGACGCGCGTGTCCCGGCTGCCGTGCTGAATGACAACCGGCCGCGTAATGTCGACATACCGGAACCCGATCGTGTGCCGCCGCTCGAGGCAGACGAGGAGATCGACGGCCGGGTTGGCGCCCGTGGTCGCGAGGTCCCAGATGGCGTGGGTCAACCGCGTGTCGTACGTGACCTGGCGCTCCTTGTCGGCCATGGCGTTGGCGGCGGCGGCGAGGATCGTGGCTTCGGGGTCCGTCGGGGTGCCCTGCGGGCCGGAGCCTGAGCCGGAGCCTTGGAGAGCCGAATGCGAGGGGTGCGATCGTAGCCGATCCATGGCGTCCGGCGCCGGAGAGCGACCGACATCTGCTTCCCGGGACTTCGCATGTGTTCCCATCTGACCAATGTTTTCCTTGTCCAAGCTCGGCGTCACGTCACGCCTAGCAGGCGCCGGTGTATCGCGGCCGGTAGCCGGGGTGGATTTGCGCTTGCCACGCCGAGGCGTCTTCGGCAGGGAGCTGGTGATGGAACTGCTCGTTGCCGTCATGAAGGAACTATTGGCGGCTTTGAGGAAGGGGGTCGGGAGGGCGCGGAGGATGCGTTGAGATGTCGGGATGGCGTTGCTCGGCGGGAGGGTCTGGGAGCCACCAAAGACGTTCATCTGAGAAGGCGGAATCCAAGGCGCGAGGAGGTGGATGCGACCACGAATGTGCTGCGGCATTCGGAGCGCGGTCGCAAGAGCATAGATGGCACCGGCCGAATGCGCAAGGATGGAAAACTTTGTGATCTTCAGGGCTTGGCAAATGGCATACACGTCGTCTAAAACACAAGATCCGAGTTAGCAGTGAGGAAAAGGAAGGAGGGTCGCGGATTAGAGCTTACCAGGCCAGCTGAGCGGCGTGGCCGTCCCGTCTGCGTAGGGTTCGCTGTCGCCTACACCTGGTCTATCCGGTGTGATGAGGCGGAGCTTGAGGGTAAACGCCAGTTCATCATAAAACGCGGTGATGTACCGGGTCAAGCCCATGCCGACGCAGCAGAAGACGGCCGAGCCCTCGGAATCGCCGACCTCGGAGAAGGAGATGACTCTACCCGTCTGCGGGTGCTTGATTTTCTGGGACAGGCGTGGGGAGCAGAGGTATGATTCGACAGCGTCGTCGATAGAGTCGGCACTCTGCGGTCGTTCGTAGCCGGCGGGTATGGTGCTTGCCCGTTCGGGTTCGGTCGCTGCTTCGTTCGGCGCGTTGGCGGATCCGCCGTCGGGACGAGGACTCAGAGGCGCAGAGAGCCGTTTTAGCCTAGAGCTGCTCCTCTTGGGGCGGACCACGTCGCTAGGGTCAGGGGTCTGTCGTCCTGACTTCCTCTTGCTTTTATCCGCACCATGTTCGTCACGTCGCCGTCCCTGTGCCACGGCGGGGAAGGGCGCGCTATCCTCGAGCTCCTCTCGAGATTGAGGGACTCTGGCTGTTGTTGTTGTGGTGGTGGTGGTGGTGGTGGTGGCAGCGGCGTGCGAGGACAGCTGGGCATCGTCAACTTCGCCGCGGACGAGGTCAGCCGACCTGCTGCGGGAGCCAGAGTCCGATATCCGCCGCCAGGACTCGTGCTTGCTTTGCCTCTGGCTACTTTTGGCGTGGCCGCGCTCCTCAACCTCGGGTATCTTCTCATTGACGGTCTCGCTCTCTCTCTTCACGCGGGCGCCACGAGCGGAGGACCGCTTGGCGCTGTTGGTTGACTTGCGCAGTGACGAGTCGCGGGCGGGAATGGGCCGCGGGCCTGAGGTGGCATCCATGGCGGAGTCGTCGGTCGGCGGCGCGTTTGCTCGAGTGGAGGGCTCGCTGGCGGCGGCGGGTTCTTCGCTAATCGAGGTTTCGGCGAGGAAGGGGTCTGGACGGGGCGCGACAAAATCGTCTGACTGGCTGCTGGCTCGCCTCTTTTCGTATTCTCTCTCGCGTAGCCTTTCCTTGGAGCTCATGTACATGAGGCCCTTGTTGCTCCTACTCTGCTTCTTGCCCCAGCTATCGCGTGAGCGCGACCGGCTTCGGGTCGATTCGGAGGCGGGAGCAACACCGCGTTCTATGGAAAGGTTGCCTATGCTCTGGGCATCGTCACGAGAACCGAGGGATCCTTTGGAGGAAGGACGGGAGCCGGTTCGCAGAATAGACTTGAGCCCGCCGCTGGATTCGCGGGAAGGGGATTTCGGGGCGGTGAGGGGGGAGAAGCCTGAGGGCGGCTTGGCAGTTCGGATGACGGGTGGGCTGGCGGCAAGCTCGTCGAGGGGAACGCTCTCCTCGCGCAGGTCGTCGAGGGAAGGTTGGGAATAGGCACCGTAGTCGACGCCGAAGCTACCGAAGCTCGCGTTTCGGGGCGAGTTGGGGAGGGAGAGGCTCGTGAGAGAAGGGCCTTCAAAGTGACGATCGGCGGGTTTGGAGATGACGGAGAGGCTGCTGATGAGGGAGGATATGACTTCGGGGGAGGCAGGCTGCACGTCGGAGGATCGATGGGACGACGAGCCAGCTACGCCTGCCGGGCCTTGCAAGGACCGACGACGTGAGTAGAGGCTGGTGGTATTGTGGTGATGGCGGGTGCGGTGGGGGATGGCGGGCGTAGGATCGACGTTGTCCATGGCTCGGCGAGTACGTTGTATGTCCCCAACGTCCCGGACAACAAACAACAGCCACGACCGACAAGCAGAGGGGATCCCGGGTTACCAGATCGGATGAACGAAAGGGGCCGAAAGACAAGACCATAAACCGAACTAGCCGCAGTTCGCTGCACACTATGGAGAGATAGCGCCGGGGTGGTGCAGTGCGGTGTGGGCTGGGCTGGGCTTCAGGCGTTCAGGCTTCGCAGGCTGCAGGTCGATGCAAGGACGAACGGGGAAAGGAGAGGAGGATAGAGGGCGAGCCCACAAGATCGTGCGGGGCGTTGTCCGATTGCTCGAGGTTGTTTGCAGAGGCAAGGCTTTCGATATGGAGGCGAGGGTCGGTCTAAATTAAGTATATCCCAACTCGTTTTGGCTGCTTTCTCGTTTCTCCTTCTTTGCTTTTCTTATTTTCCTTCTAGGGAAACAGGGGCGTATGCAGTTGCAAGGGGGGAAGAAAGCCGACCGAGTCGTAAAGGAACGGACGTGCAACAAGCTGCAGGAGGTTGAGGTCGGTGGAAGTGGAAGTACGAAGTAAAAAGGAGATGCTGGAAAATCCAAAGCAACGGGCAGCAACGGGGGACGGGGAACGGGCGACAAAGTCGCAATTACCTTAGTTACTCCGTAAAAAGGTCGGGCCGGGAGAAAAAGGAGTTGAAACGGGCAAGAACAAGAGGAGGTCTGTCTAGGTAGGTACGAAGAAATACGAAGTAACTGGAGGTAACTGGAGGTATGACGAAGTAGTTAAATTAGGTGTCCGGGTACCTGTAAGGTAGCTAGCTGCAGGCCCAGGCAGCGACAACGGGAACATGAATTCGATTCTGCACGAGAGCTGGTTGCTTTTCCTTTTGGCTTAAATGGCTCTACGCATACGTATTTCCCTGCATTTGTCTCCGAGTCAATCTATAAGAAAGCGAAACAAAGACGGGGACGGGATGTAGGACACTAAGGTATGGTTAAAGGGAAAAGAAACCAAGTCGCAGACAGGGAACATGACCAGAGATCTTACATGGTGACATTCGATGAGGTACGAAGGACATGTGCAATCTCCGTATCTGTACGAAGGTATTATATACCTTATATAATTAGGTACAACCCTGTCCTAAGTCGTCACGTAACCAGGTAATTTACAACGCGCAATGCCACGGTGCATTATGTATCCGTCAAAGGTATTGAGTATCGTACAGATGTCTGCAGGTTGCCGAAGAAGAGCCCCTCCTCTGCAGCCGCAGCGAAGTGTTTATGCCCCTTATTGGGTACCAGCATCCAGGTTCGTTTTCTGTCCCCATGTTTGGGTCTGCGCGGACCATCCATAAGATGCGTTAGGTATTGGTCATGGCCATGGAGTGATAACGTCGGTATCCGGTCTCTCAGCAGACTCAGGGGCTACCAGTAATTGGCCAATCACTCAGCGTTGTCTCCTCCGCTGTGGGGGTGCTGGACATGAAGCTTGTCCCTTTGGGGAGAACCCGGCTTCCCCCTTTTCTTTGGCCTCCAGCGGGCCACCGATGTGGGGGTCCTAGGACGCTGCATTCCCCAGGGGTATCCGTACCTACCTTATGTACTTACCTACATACGAAGTACAACGGTAACTTGGACCCCGTCCAGCAGGTCTCAGCGCCAAACAAGACATAATGTTACCTATCCGTACTGGTACCAGCCTGTGCCGAGACAACTCTGGGCATACACTGACTAACTGCCTTGCTGCATCGAGAAAATCGGGCTATTGGTATGCGGCATGTTCATGAAGCTGCCCGGATGGTGAGACTTGGTGCTTTCATATGTAGCAACTCGATATTGAGCTCCGGCAAAGGCCATGTGGTAGGTAATTAGATGGAGTTGGTGGCTCATTATCGTCACCAGGAACCAGGGCACGAGACTCGTTTTGGTAGACCTTCGACGAGAATGAGCTTTACAAGTATTTGGCCGAACCGAGTACTACGAAGCAGATCGTACGAAGACTGAGAAATTATATTATCAGGCCAATAGGTAGGTTATCCTACCCAACTCCTCGGTGTGGTCAGCTGACACACCGGTGGTCACCGAGAACGCAACACACCCGGCTTTCACCGGTCTTTCACCGATCCTTCACCGAATCCAACGAGCCACTACCAACGACGTCATATATCGAAATAGGGGTTGTCCCTCCTCGATTGCAGCCACCCACCGGGAACGGTTTGACATGGGCATTCAACTTGTTTCGATGGGACACCACTCGGTCGGTAACGCGTACTTCGTATTGACAGAGTTGGGCAGGACGTCATAGGAATCACCCTTGCGAACTCTATTCCCTTCATGAAACGCTTTTGTGCAGACAACTCGACTCTTCCTTAGGCAACATATTTATCTCAGCTTCTACCATTCGTCCTTGCCTACCTCGACCTGGTTCACCTGAACGATGCTTCTGCCTGATATCTAGCTCATATACAGGATCGCCTCTTTTTATTTCCCTTACTCGCACGGTTGTCCTTTTGTTTATTAATCCCCGACATCAGTCACATAGAGCTGTTGGTCAGACTTGCACGGATATAATCCAACAAACCCAAGTGGTCCCTGTTTTTCCTTCAGAGAAGTCCGTCCCAGTCAGCGATACCAGGACTCCCTCATCGCCCACCATGGATTTCATACTCTCCCTCCCCATCGTGTCCTATTTCCTCGCCCCCGCTATCACCTCCTGGTCCACCTCTCTCAACCTCCTCTTCTTCTACATGACCTGGTCCACCCTCGTCCTGTCCCACGGCGCTCTCAAAATCCAGCTAATCGGCCTCTTCGCCATCCGTCTCGTCCTCTGGCTCGCGCCATCGCTCCTCTTCCTCGCTTTCGATACCCTCCTCCCCTCCGTCGCCGCCTCTCTCAAGGCGGGCGGCGCATCGTCCCTACCCTCGACCCGGAACAACGGCACCCAGCTCCTACGGACCTTCGCCCTGGCCGTCTTCAACCTCGCCCTCTCCGCCGCCCTCGATGCCGCCGCCACCACGTTCTCGTGCTACGCCTTCGGATCCCCCGTCTTCAAGACCTCCACCACGCTGCCCCTCCCCTGGCAGCTCGTCAAGCACCTCGCTCTCCTCCTCGCCGGCCGCGAACTGCTGACCTATTACATCCACCGCGGCGTCCTGCACGCTTCGTCCCCGAACCGGGCCGCGAAATGGCACGCGCAGTACGCCCACGCCCGCAAAACGCCGCTCTTCTCCCTTCGTCTCTTCGCGGACCATCCCGTCCCGTGCCTCCTCCACCGCTTCGTGCCGTTGTATCTCCCCGCCGTGGCGCTGCGGCCCCACCTCCTCGTCTACTTCCTCTACGTGGCGCTTTGTACGGGCGAGGAGACCCTGGCTATGAGTGGTTACTCCACGGTCCCTGGCATTATCATGGGAGGCATTGCCCGTCGCACGGCCGCCCACTATGCATCGGGCGGGGTGGGGAACTATGGTGCTTGGGGCATCCTGGACTGGGCACATGGTACCACTCGCGGGCAGGATGTCATGGAGGATATGAAGGACGAGGCAGAGAAGCATGCGGTGAAGGAAAGAGGGGAGAACGCTGCGAGCAACGGCCTATCAGCCGTGAAGGAGGGGATGAACGGGTTGAAGAAAGGGGGAAGGGGAAGGCCGAGGAAAACTAAGACCGAGAAAGAGGACTCGTAGGAAGCGAGGCAAGTGTGACATGGTATGATGGTATAATGCGTTACTACGTGTATTTATGATCTGGCAGGTCTTCTTGAGCTATACCACAGTCTGTATGTTTGCTAGCGTTATGTCTAGCAGTCACAAAACAATGGGGAGGCTAATTCTGTACTGACCACCGGTCCACCGCGGTCTTTTAAGTCTGTGTATTACGGTCCATAAATACATTCCCCAATGGTAGCAGCACACCGGAGCTTCTAGTCTTAGTCTGCTCTTGGACATATTCTGCATCCCCAAGACGGTATTTGCTTTCCCAAAGCCGGGCGGCTGGTAGCATCCCATGCTCTGGACGCCAGCTAAAACATGCCTTGTTCAACGCCAGAACGCCCCATCCCCAACCGCCGCCTTTGCTTCTTAGGTGAGAGCGAAGCCCTAGAATTCCATGTCACCGCCTGTGACAGCATTCCGTCGAGCGTAAATGCCCTTGGGTGGCCGAGGAACGGTAGGTATGAGGCCGGGCTCACACGCCAGGGCTTCCGCGTAGCGACGCTCCAGCTCGTGTTCGTCGTCACTCTACTTCGACTTTTCCGCCGCGGGAGGAGCATCGCCGAAGACGGGAGGACCTCTAGCGTAGCGGGTGACGTATTGCCTGGCGTTCTTCTCAAACTCGTTGCGGTCGTTGCGGTATTCGTCGGCGATGCGGGCTTCCAGCGGATCGTCCGGCTGGGGTTCGACGAGGAGCTGACGCACCGCTTGCAGGACGGCCGAGACCTTGGTTGCCGGTTTCCAGTTCTCCGGCTTGAGGATGGAGAGGCATATGTTGCCCAGGTTATCGTTGGTGACATTCGGGTGGTAGATGCGCGTCAGAATGCGGACGGTGGGTGGCTTGAAAGGGTAGTCCGTGGGTAAGGTCACCAGCACGGCATAGTTTCCGCCTTCGTAGACGCTTGACGCCGGACCAGCCAGTGCCACTTTCCATGTGTGCAGGTCGGATTCGTTCCAAAGACACACTTTCATGTCTGGGGGTGGGCTGGTGGTGCATTCAGTCAGCTCCTATATAAGGTCACCGAGCGACTTGGTTAGCCCTGTCTTGCCTATAGCCGTGAATCGAGCCGTGCAGGAGCGGTGGATGCAAGACTTGCCTTGTAAATTCGTTTGCTTGCCATTGTCCTTGCAGTTCCAGACTCGGGTGTTTCGACGGCGACTGGGGGGGGGCCAAGATATAGGAAGAGGCGGGGTAGTCGTTAGATGTAAGATGTAAGCGTCCAGCAAAATAGAAACAAAGGGCCGCGGCGGACAGATTCTGGCGGAGTCAAGAATGTGTTGCGGGATTCGGCCTTGTTGGTCGACAGAACTGTTCGGACGGCTGCGATGTGTTCTGGTGTTACTTGTTGACGGTGGAAGCTTCCACTGATTTGACACTCGGTACTGGTAAAGACCCGGGGTGAAGCTATTGCGGGGCAGAGCTCAGTGTACCTTACGATACGATACAGGCACGTCACACGCCATCAGTGCTGCAGGCAGCAGGTACTAGGTACCTAATTACCTTAGGCACGAAGAATACCCCAAACTTAACCTGAGGTAAAGTAAGGTACCCTCCTATACAGTACCTAAGGTAGGTAATTACCAGGCATCTGTTCTTTGCTCCAAGGCCTGATAGGGGACAAACCTCTTGCGCCACATGTGGCTCCCTCTTCAACGTTCTTCGTCTACGTGTACCGAGGCGTCGCACCATCACCATCTAGACCAGTCTCTTAGTGGTAGGGTGGGTGCGATGACGTTACGCCCCGTCTTGAAGATGGCATTACTTCGTAGTTGCGCACTTCGTAGTATTTCCTCAGTCGGACGATACACGTAGAGCGGCTTTGAGTGGCCACACCGACACGCTTCTTCCATGATCGCATCATTTCCTCAATTGGATAGGTGCGCTTGTATTGGCAGCATTGGTAGCAAGGCAGGAGGGGAGATGAAAGAGGGGCAAGGCTGTTGTTGGTGGGGGAGCCACGAGTGGAGGGGGAGGGGCAACGGAAATGGCTTCCAGGTACTATATATATATATATATATACCTTATATATATACCTAAGCTTAAGCTGCCAATTTTTGCTTTTGTACAACCGGCTCAAGCTTGCTGCTACTGCGAGACCTTCGCCTGTAACTTGAATTTCTTTCTTTTCTCAACGTGACGTTCTATTGCCCTCAGGAACCATGTCTCAACAAACCACGTAAGTTTGATCATCGCAAGCCGTCACCAATCGCGGTGACGTGTGTCTTCTTCATGGGCGAGGAAGGCGACTTGTTGTTAAATATTGGTTGACTGACGACGAGACAAGGCGCACTTTCACCCTCAACACCGGGGACAAGATCCCCGCCGTTGGTCTGGGTACCTGGCAATCCAAGCCCAATGAGGTCAAGCACGCCGTTGAGGCCGCCCTGCGCCGCGGCTACCGCCACATCGACACGGCCCTGGCCTACGGCAACGAGCGCGAGGTCGGCGACGGCATCAAGGCCTCGGGCGTTCCCCGCGAGGAGATCTGGATCACCACCAAGCTGGACAACCCCTGGCACAAGCGCGTGCCCGAGGGCCTCGCCTCCTCCCTCGAGAGTCTACAGACCGACTACATCGACCTCTACCTGATGCACTGGCCCTCCAGCACCGACCCCGACGACCTCAAGAAGCACTACCCGGACTGGGACTACGTCGACACGTGGCGCGAGATGCAGAAGCTCGTCGGCACCGGCAAGGTCCGCAACATCGGCGTGTCCAACTTCGGCATCACCCACCTCGAGCGCCTGCTCAACGACCCGTCCTGCAAGATCGTGCCCGCCGTGAACCAGGTCGAGCTGCACCCCTGCAACCCTTCGCCCAAGCTGCTCGAGTACAACAAGAGCAAGGGCATCCACACCACCGCCTACTCGTGCCTCGGCAGCACCGACTCGCCTCTGTACAAGAACGACTCCTTGCAGAACATCGCCAAGGCCAAGGGGAAGACCCCGCAACAGGTCCTCCTGCACTGGGGGCTCCAGCGCGGCACGAGCGTCATCCCGAAGTCCGTGTCCAAGGAGCGTATCGACGCCAACTTTGACCTGGACGGCTGGGAGCTGACCGACGAGGAGATGAAGCAGCTGTCCAGCTTCACGGAGCGATTCAAGGTCTGCGATGGCGCCTTTTTGCCCGATGGTGTCAAGGTCTTCCTGGGTGATGACGAATAGAGAGAAGTTAAGCATAAATGATGGAAGAAACGGTTTCTGCGTGTGCGTGTGCGTGTGTGTGTGCGTGTGTGTGTGTGTGTGCGTGGGGCATGGCAAGAAGAAAATACTGTTGGCATTCCGTGTCGCTGGTATTTCCGGGGTATATATATAGATGACACGCCCGATGGCACGCTAAAACTAAGAATAAAAGTTAAAGAGTAAAAATGCATTCATGAAACAATGCCAATGCCAATGCCAATGTGAGCCAAACAAAACAGCAGCAGAAACGAAATGTCAGAGTTTCGATTTGTCCTTCTGTGATTCGACCTCTTCTTCCCGCAGGACCTCAGCGACAGCTTCCCTCAGCTCCCGCGCTAGTTGATCCGCATCGTCCTCGTCGAGATCCTCCCTCTTACCCCGGCCAAACATGGTAAAACTCTCGCTGTATCTCCCGCTCGCACGTATCTCGGGCCGCGGGATGAGGTGGAAGTGCATGTGCATGACGACCTGCGCCGCAGCGGCGCCGTTATTCTGGACGACGTTCCAGTCCTCCACACCCGTGACGCGCGACAGGGCTTTCGAGAGGACGCGGAGGTATCGGCCTAGATCGGCGGCTTCATCTCGTGAGACGTCGGTGAGTTTCGGGCGGTGTGTCCGGGGGCAGAGCAGGAGGTGGCCACGGGAGAGGGGCATGATGTCGAGGAAGGCGACGAGGGTGCCTGTGGAGAGGACGACGAAGGCCGGGGGGGTTGTCTTGGTCGGGTCAATGTCGTGGTCGTGATCTCTTGGCGGGCTGGTTGCGCTGAACGGCGGGAAGTGGTCGGCGATGGTGCAGAAAGGGCAATTCGACTCGGGAGCATCGACGCCTGCCTCGAATTCGGATGGTGTCATGATGGGCGGTGGTAAATCGACGTAAGAGTGAATGGAAGCAAAAGCATTATAGAAGAATCCCAATTACAGGACCACCTATGGAGCTGTATGTATGATGTATGACGCGATGGAAAACAGAAGAATAGAATCAATGGATATACATCGTCGTGGTGGTGGAAGCAATTGTTTGAAGAGGATCAGCGGAATAGGTACCTTATTAAGGTACCTAGCTTAGGAAATACGGAGTACGGGAGTACATCTCGGCAGTTCCAACATTCTCAAATACATGTTGACCGCTTAGATATTCTGCCGGCTATCCGACCAGCCTCCGACCAATCAAATATCTATGAGCTAAAAGAAATCGTCCCCACCCGGTCCCATTTATCAGTTCAGCCATATGGTACCTTGGGTAGATTCCATTCTTTGGAAGAAAAGTTGAACAACCATCACACTCACGCCCCCCGCCTCCTTGCACAACAAGCAGCAAACTCCTAACATCCAACTCCCAACCCCCGAGTAAAGACACGAAAGAAGCGATTTCCCGATACGCAAATACTTTCTTTCCACCATGTCTCGCGAAGCCTACCAAGTCCCGACCGGTAGCCAAGCCGCCAACCCAGCAGCCGTGGGCAAGTCCTTCGATGCCTACGGTGGAGGCGCCGCCGAGGTCGGCCCCCAGATGCAGTACCTATGCGGTGACTGCGGGCTGAAGTTCCAGATGCGCCGCGGCGATGCCATTCGGTGCAAGGAGTGTGGATGCCGCATTCTTTACAAGGAGCGCACCAAGAGGTGAGTGGAGGGAGATGTGCTATGCCTCTGGTGGCTACGACGTTGCGATGGCTAACAAAGTTGCGCAGAATGGTCCAGTTCGAGGCGCGATGATACCATTTCGACATCACATCTTTTTACCTCGGTCGTTCCCGAAGAGCAAAGACGGCTACTTTTAACGTCATGCACGTCTGATGTCACGGGTCGCCATATCGCTTTTAGGTACGCAGGGGCTTAGGGCATTGGAGAAGCGGCGGGAAACATCACCTTTTTGAGAAGTAGAGATATGGGAGGCGTTGTGTGTGTAAATTTCAGGCATCAGGGCGCATGGTGTTAGTTCATTGAACAGGGACATCTGAATTTGATTTTCGCAGTCATGTCGCATTTCACAGTATTTACTCTTTTCTGCCCTAGGTATCCATTTGCGCAGTTGGTGCCCCTTCCTCAAACGCCAATGTGATCGGTATCCTGCTTTCAATTTTTTTAAACCCCCTGGAGTGTTGTCGACAACATCAACGTCTCTGCTGGTGTAGATATTTCGCGAAGCTTGCATCCGCCATGATGGAGTCTCCCTCCGAAGTTAGCGCCGCCTCGTACCTTGACTTCAGGCCTTCCCGGTCGTTTTCATCGTCAGGGATATCATCGTCGTCCACGTCGTCGCCCGCATCCATGTCATCTTCCTCTCCCTCCTTCTCCTTCTCCTTACCCTTACCCTTGGCCGCATTCACCGACATGCCCTTCATCATCTTGTCCAGCTCCTCTTCTCTTGCCTTCCGCCTCTGCTCGTCCCGCTCTTGTCTCCTGCGCTGCAACTCGGGCAAGTAGTCTTGTTTGAACTCCTCGGCCTTTTCTTGCACGGCCGCGAAGAACTCCTCCATGCCGGTGCCCAACCGCGAGCTCACGGGGACGAAACTCAGATGGGAGTAGAATTCTTCCAACACCAGACTCATCGAGCTGACCAAGCTGTTCATGTAACCGGAGCCTCCGGGACCACCCTCCCCCATGCCGTCGCCTGCCTGTTCCTCCTGCAGCGCGGCCTGGAAGGCTTCGAAATCTGTCATCCATTCCTTTGCGAAGCTGGCATCCTTGACGTCCGTCTTGTTGAATACGAGGATCATGGGCAATTTCGTCTTGTAGAGGATACTGCAGGCGTAGAGCATGTTACTGATGAATGTGCTCGTCGAGGCGGTACGTGGGGTGTCGATTATGTAGGCAATGACTGTCGGAAATGATGATGCGAAAGACTCGAGAAGAATGGTGCCGCTCGCGGACCAGACGAAGACTTCAATCTGTCCAGCTGTACGGGTATTAGCTCACGACGTATGGAAAGAAGGGGGGGGAGAGGTGATGCCTCACGTGTGTCCACGAGGATATGTTGAACGGGTTTCTTCTGGGGATTGCTCGGATCTGGTGTTGTTCTCTTTTCGAGAAGGTTGACGATCTGGTCGACTTTGGTGGCGAACAGGTTCAAAGAAGTGAGAATGCCTCCGTTGGGTCCTAGGTTGTACTGCTTCATGACTTCCTGGTAGTTGACCGAGTCGCGGATATCGATATTGCTCTCGAAAGGGACGTTGAGAACAGCTGGATCGAGATTGATCACATAAGGAGGGTCGTTTTTGCCATGGAGGTACGAGTTGATGCGGCGCATGAAAGTCGTCTTGCCCGAGCCTATGCAACCCATGTATCAGTCTCAATCCTGGTCCATGAGGATCATCGAGCGCAGAGCAGGGGAAAATACCAGCCATGCCGACACAGACAATGGCGACGGGCGACGGGCCCGTTGACGAGCCCGTTGCCTCTGAAGAGGGCGCAGAAGAGGATGTGGAAGCCATCTGTAGCAATTGGAGGGCGCACACTGAAGAGAGGGCCGGGGAGAAAAAGAAGACCCGGTCGTTGCAAAACGAGCTTGGAGGGAAAGTTCGATGAAGCTGCCCCGCGTGGGGCATTGCAGGGCCTGTGTACACTGTAAGGTAAGCATACTGTACTCGTACCGTATGGAGTAGCTACGTACCTTAGGTACCTTACGTGTACTTGAGAGAGCACATACGTCAGTGCACGAGCGAATGGGGCCACTCTGCTTAAGTACCCTAAGTAGGTACTCCGTAATTACCGTACAGGAAATTGAAGAAATTCCCACCGGTCAACAACACGGCTGACACTTCTGCACCGAATATGGACGGCCTGGATGAGTTTGAAAAGGCGCTTGCTGCAGAGAAAGGAGAAAAGGAGCGTATTGAGCGTGAAAAGGAAGAGCGAAGACAGAGGAAGAAGCACCGACACCATCACCGACACGACCGCGAAGACCGCGACAGAGATTCCCAGCGTCACCGAGACAGAGATCGAGACCGTGATAGGCATCATCGCCACAAGTCAAGTCACCGCGACGAAGACAAAGAGGAGGAAAAGCGGCATCGCCATCATCGGTCAAGCCGCGCCGACGATGATGACAACCACAGACACAAGCGACGCAGGCATTCAGACGACGAGGATGATCACGGTTCACGACGCAAGAGGCGAACCAGCACCGAAGAAAATACATTTGCCAATGTCCCGGATCCCAAGGAACAGCTTCCATTGCCAGACGAGGAAAAGACGCCAGATGCGGTTGCTGCCGACCGTGGGCCACTCGCGAGGGATGCTTGGATGACCGCGCCTTCGGCACTGGACGTCGACTACGTGCAGCGTCGCGACAAAGCTACTGAACGGCCGGCTCGGGAAGAAGCCCCTCGTGTGGTGCACGATCGTGAAATCAATCGAGACATCGGGGACTTGAGTAACATCAACCCCCTCGACAACGATATGCCCTCTGCCCCTGCCGAGCGGAAGGTTACCTACAAGTTCGGGGACCAGGGATCACAGTGGAGGATGATGAAGCTCAGAGCTGTCTGCACCGCGGCAGAGCAGACTGGGCGCTCGGTGGAAGACGTGGCCCTTGAGCGGTACGGCGACCTAGAAGATTTTGACGACGCTCGCGAAGAAAAGATGGAGCTAGACAGGCGGAAGATATACGGCGAAGGCTACGTCGGAAAAGAACAGCCCACGGGAGACCTGTACCGCGAGCGTCTGGAGAAGCACCGAGCCACGCAGAAGCGAGAAGCAGAAAGCTCCGCGGCGGAACTTGTCCAAGGGGCCGTCATCCCCGACCCTCCCATGCAGACGCCGATGGACCAGACCACGCTCAACCGGTTGCGGGCGCAAATGGTCAAAGCCAAGTTACGCAGGGCGCCCGACGCCGCAAAGCTGGAAAAGGAATACAACGAAGCTGCGGCCAGCTTCGCGAAGAACGGGCCTCAGGCGGTGGTGCTCGGCGTGCAGGACAACCGGATGCTGGCAGGCACGCGGGCAGAGGTCAAGCAAGTCGAGACCAAGAGGGGCCGGGACCGAGGCCAAGTCGAAGAGAATGAGGACATGTCGATCGAGGATATGGTCCGCGAGGAGCGGCGGACGCGCGGACAAGCAGGAGGCGAGGGCATGAGGTTGGCCGAACGGATCGCCAAGGACTCGCGGTTCGACGACGACCTCGAATACATGGACGAGAACGCCGACAAGCTGGCGAAGCGGGTGTACAAGTCGGACATCAACCTCAAGAACACGGCGGTCAACGAGTACCAGAAGCTGACGCGCATCCTCGAAAACTGCCCGCTCTGCTACCACGAAGACAAAGGCCAGCTGCCCATCGCGCCGGTCGTCTCGCTCGGGACGCGGGTGTACATGACGCTGCCGACGGAGCCGGAGGTCAGCGAGGGCGGCGCGGTGATCGTACCCCTGGCGCACCGCAAGAACCTGCTCGAGTGCGACGACGACGAGTGGGAGGAGATGCGCAACTTCATGAAGTCCCTGACGAGGATGTACCACGAGAGGGGCCAGGACGTCATCTTCTACGAAAACGCGGCGGCCCCGCAGCGACACCTGCACGCGGCCATGACGGCGCTGCCGATCCCGTACGAGGACGGGGCCATGGTGCCGGCCTACTTCCGGGAGGCGTTCCTGACGGCGGACGAGGAGTGGTCGCAGCACCGGAAAGTCATCGACACGGGGGCCAAGGCGGCGGAGGGCCTGGGTCGGATGGCGTTCCGGCGGTCGATTGCCAAGGAGATGCCGTACTTTCACGTGTGGTTCAACCTCGATGGCGGGTTGGGGCACATCATTGAGAATGCGGACATGTGGCCGCGGGGCGACCTTTTCGTGAGGGAAGTCGTGGGCGGCATCGTGGACGCGCCGCCGAACGTCATCAAGAAGCAGGGTCGTTGGAGGAGAGAAGACCCGAGGGTGGAAGGGTTCAAGAAGGGATGGAGGAAGTTTGACTGGACACGGATGCTTACGGAGGATTGAGCTTTGAATAATAGGTCATGTCGCCGGCGATACTACAACAACATTGACTCTTTTAGCATTTTCTTCTCTTGTTCTGCTGGATGTGTTCTTGTAGCTCGAGCCCTGTCACCTCGTTAATGTACGGATGGAGACCCTGGCTTGCGATCATCCCGACGAGGCGGTACCCAGTACGGACACGGCCTGCAGAGTCAAGGGGAGTCAAGGTCAAAGGCGAGTAAAGGCCAGTGCCGGACCCACATTAAGACTGTGCCGGCTCGTGGGTACAGTACCAAGTAGTGTACTTCGTAGGAATGGAAGTACTCCGTCCATCGGAGACGTCCATCGGATTACTACTTCTCACAATCATTTACACAGACTATAGGGCAGGTCACCTGACCTGCCCTAGAGCAGCCCACTATAGCCTAAACTCCTCCGCCTATAGCTAGCTCGAGGGATCTTCCCTTAATTAAGTATCACTTAACCCACTATTTAGTAGCGCTATTTAAATAGTGGTTAGTATAAGGGAACCAGCTATTTTACTTTAGCTAGGCTTATCTTATATATATTTATTTATTCTCTTTTTAACGAACTCTTTACCGACTATTTATTCCCTTTTTCTTTCTTTAGAAACCTTAGTAGATATCTACTAAGTGTTTTCGACTTATAAGTTTCTCGGGATATACCTCGTAGCGGAGATAAAAGAGGAGGTATTCTTTCTAGCTAAGCTAAATCCTCTTAATATATACCTACCGCGGTGAATAGAGAAAATTTTACTAAAGACGCGTTTTTAGAGTTATAACCGTTAGAGGACGGCTCCTGGACGGCGTTTTAGAGAAGCTCGGATAGATATAAAAATAATTCGGGAAGCTTTATTACGATACCCTCTCTCCCCGGGAGGAGAGAGTGACCTTTAAAGCTATTAGAGCCGATATATCTTTACTATACTAACCTTTTATTAGGGCGATATCGCCTTAGTATTAGGAAAGGAAATCCTTATCCTACTAAAAACCGACTCTTCCGTTTTTAGGTCTAAAGACAAAAGTTCTTTCGGGCGATACGGCGGCGTTTAGGCGTAAGTTGCTAGCTAAACCTTAGAATATTAGCCGCGATTTCTAAGAACGGATTCTAGGACGGGGTACTTCTTTCCCTATCCTAGGTATAAGGATAAGAGCGAGCTAGCGACTTCGCCGGTATACGCCGATTAGATAAAGTTACTCCTTAGCTATAAAGAGCTAGGGAAAGACGAAGCGATTAGATAAAGTTGTTTTAGAAGCTATAACGCGTTTAGTTAAGGACTAGATAAATATATTTCCCCTGATAGTCGTGGAGGAATCTCTTCTATTACTTTTTCTCCTCTTTATCTTCGATAGCTTTTATTTTACGACTTTATAGAATTTAAATACTAGCTTAATAAGAGAAATTATAAGTCTCTTTTTATTTAGCTAATATCGGCTAAAATACCTTCTTCTTCTTACTTTCTAGTACCCGTTATTTCTCCCGCTACTTATATCTAAGGGATAAGACAGTTTACCTGCGTTAAAAATTCTATTACTAAGTTCGTCTAAGAGGTCGAGTTAACCTGCTATTACTCTTATAAATATAACTCCTATATCTCCTTTTATCACTAAGCCCTTTTTTATATAGAGGTAACCCTCTCCTTAATATTCGTCTTCTTTATCGGAAGTGACTTTCACGGCGACTTTTCCTACTATAGCCGCTACTTTATAAATAAACTTTTCTCCTTTTAACTCCTTCGATATAACAAGCTAAGTAGGATAGGCCGCCGGAGCCGTGTCTAAGTTTACCGGCACGGGTATAGCCTATCTAACCACGGAATTTCTAAGCGATATTAAAGATATCGTTAATATACTTTTAGATAGAATCTCTCCGGAGGCTAAGAAGAGGCAGAAACTCCGGTTAATACGTATTAATTTAGCCGGACACGCCCGGGCGTAGTGGTAAATATTAGACGCAGATACCCGTAATAGTTAGGAGAAAACTAAGATAAAGTTCTAAGCTAAGTTTAAGGATAAGATAAGCTAGCGAGACGGCTAAGCGATTATAGAAGTTTCTATATTCTAACGAAAGGCTAAAGAGTAGCTTATCGACTACCTTAAAAGAGCGTTTAAGTTAAATATAAAGCCTATATCCCCGGAGCTATATCTCCTCCTCGCCTAACGCCTATACGAGTATATAGTAGATAGTAAGATTAACTCCTACCTTAGGGAATAAGTTAAGGACCGGCTTATAGCTTCTAGTAAGACGGTCTACGGAGTTCTCGATAAGTCCGTTATATTTAAGAATATTAAATATACTATTATTCAGGTCGCTAAGGGTACTTACGATATATCCGACCTTTTAGACGATAAGGATAGTACGAATAACCTTAGTATAGTAGAAGCTCTAAAAGGTATTAGTAAGTTTAGTAAGTCCTATAAAAAGTAGATAAACGCGGTTATCTATAAGTTAGCGGATCTTAGTATTCGCCTAGCGTAAAGCCGCCTATATAATCCTAACGCTTCTTTTTCCTCTTCTAATACCTGTCTAAAGACTGCTTTTTTATACCCCTTAAATATAGAGTGAGTTTTCTGCTTTAGTTACGGCGGGTAGGGATATCTTCTCCGAGATCACCCGGTAAAAGGCTTAAGGGAATAATAGTAATAGCGAAGGGAGACCTAGGAAGCACGTAAAGACGAGATACTTACAGCGATAGCCTCCGAATCTATAGGAGAAGATAAGGTGCTAGACGCTCCTTAGGAAGAGGAGGAATATAAGCTATATATACTAGAGTAGTAGGGAGAAATACTACTACTTATAGTATTATTAAGTATTCCGAGACTATCGCCCTAATATCACTACGCGAACCTAGCGCCTCCCTCCTAAGATTCACTTTATATAGGATTTTTAAAAATTAAGAGGTCCCCATACCGGTTCGATTTTCTTTATATATTTCGAGATTTAGCCTTTATTTCTTTATCTAAGGCTAAAAGCTGGTTTAAAACCTCGAATATCGATATCGGTTCTATAGCCGATACTTCTAAGAAAAGGGGCTTAGTAAAAGTCCTTCTATATACTTATCGAGACGTTTTCGCTACTACGCTCTAGGATATTAAAGTTACTCCTAGACTTATATACCGGATTACTTTAAAACCGGACGCTTAACCCCTTTTAAAATAGCGTTAATAGCGATATAGGCACTAATAGCGAGAATTCGCTAAGCGTGCTATACCCGAGATAGAGCGGGCCGGAATTCTTATAAAGGCTTTCTTAGCGCCTTAGGTAGCGCCGACTCTTTACCCGCTAAAGCCTAGAGAGAAAGAAGTCCTGCGAGTAGTCTATGATTTTCGAATTATTAACGCCGCCTTAGAGTGGCCTGCTTATCCTTATTATAATCTGGAAACCGATATCGATTCCGTGTAATAGGGCCGCCCTATAGTATACTCTAGCTACGACGCCTTTAACGGGTTTTAGGGTATCTAACTCGACCCGGCTTCGCGAGACCTATTTATAGTAACCGGACCTAATAGCACCTGGTATTATACCCGTATACCGTAAGGTCTTTTAGGCTCCCCTAGTATATACGCTTATTTCGGTAACCTTATCTTTAGAGACTTCTTCGACGATAAAAACGGTATACTAGATCCGAATATATACTATCCTTCTATCCTAGGATATATACGTGAACTAGAGATAAAACTTTTTATCTATATCAATAACCATAATATAAGCAGTACTAATTTCTTTTAACACTTTATTTACCTTTAGGTATATTATTTTCCTAGAGTAGTCTAGGGACTGATCGGCCTCTCTATAAAGAAATATCACTTCTTCCTTAACTACCTAGACCCGGTAGGTATATATATATATAATAGACGAATTCGACCTAGCTATAAATATCGCGATAAGTTTTTAGACTTCGCTTATAAGTTCTTATAGGCGCCCCTAATATCCTGGGAAGAGATTTAGCCTCTCTTATAATACACCCCGCCTTTTCGGAAATTTATCCTAGGCCGAGCGGGGCTCGAAGATATTATTAAGGACGCCTTTTAGGAATATATACTTACTACTACCCCGCTTAGTAAGCTAAGTATTCGTAAGTAGTGTGTCCGAAGAGTAACACCGGCCTAGGGATAAGAGTAGGCGGAGGCTCTTTAGAAACTCTGTGAAAAGATTTAGTATAGGGTGATTTTTGGAGTAGTCGACAGAGTATAGTTTTATATCTTAGCGGATATATCTAACTATGGCTTAGGAGCGGTGCTGCTATAACTAGATAGTAATCGATTCCCGGCGAGTTTATAAATTACTAATAAGAACTAGAGCTCCGTTAAAGTGATTTAGTTTATATCGTTTAGTCTTATAGAGGCTAAATGTCGCTATACTATACCGGAAAAAGAGACCCTCGCCGTCCTACGGGCGCTTTAGGAGATATAGTGGCTTATACTGTCTAGTCCTTACCCCGTGATAGTATATATAGATTATCTTAGCCTTATATAATCTATAAATAAATTTACCGAAATATAGACTAAGCTTCTTAAGTGGTTAGAGAAGCTTATAGAATTCGATTATATCTATATCCACTATTTAAATATATAAAAGGTTATTAAAGTTACGGACGGTCTTAGCCGTATACCCGTAAGGGTTTAGGATAACCCGAGACTATTTTAGAGGCGCTAGGCGTTAGAATACTCCTTTAAGGAAGGCTAACTCACCGTTATTACTCCGGATAGGCTTATATTAACTTCAACTAAGCCGACTCGGGATAAATCGCTCTTTAAATTAGGTAAAGGAGGGATATAGCTCGGCAATTAGATCAGTACTTTAGATGCTAGTATAGCTATATTAGAGGATTTACGGAAGCGGTCGGTATTACTACGGCCTATAGCAGGGCCTACGGATATCTTATAGGAGATAAGGTAAGATTTGCTACGATAGCTCCTTAGAATATAGGGTTTAGGTGAATAGTACGGGTAGGTTATTCGCCGTATTATTCTAGACCCGGATAGTTTTACTAAGGAGAATAAATAATAGCGTCGCGTGATTATATATATTAGCGATATATATTATATCTACGGTATTTATCTATATAAGGTGGAGTTAGACGATTCGCTAGTATATTATATCTCCCGCTAGGATATAGTGAAAATCCTAAGGCGTTTTTATAACGATAGCGGATATTATAGTATTAAGATTATATTAGCGAACTTCAAGGGCAGATACTATTAGCCTAATAGAGTAAAAGATTTAATAACTTACGTTCGCTTTTATGAAGTCTATTAGTAAATTTCGCCTCGATTACCGAAACTTCCGCTAGGACGCGTTATAGTCTCTTATCCTTTTAAGTTAGTGGGTATAGACTTTATAGGACTAATCTTAGCGCCCTCCTAAGATAGAGATCGGTATATTTTAGTACTAATCGACTATATAATACGCTGTATCCTGTTATTCCCGATAGCGGTGGTAGATACGGTGTTAGTTTATAATAAGCTATGTACTAGGATAGTAGTAGTTTTCGGGTGGCCTAAGTTCTTTTACTACGATAACGGATTATATTTTAAGAATATTATATTAGAGGCTATTACCCGTTTTTATAGCTCGACGATAATTTTCGGGCTAGTTTTATACCTAAACTCGATAGGCCTACTAGAAAGCGTAGTTAAGTTAGTAAAAGTATAGCTACGAAAATACGCTATATCGTGTTCGCCTAATAAGAAGATAAGGGGAGACGTTTCCCGATAGTATTTAGAGGTGCCTAATATCGCGTAAAGACTAAATACTAGTTACCTAGCGGTGATTAGCACCTTACTAGCGAGGGCTATATTCGGTTTTAGCCCCTTTTATAGCGATAACGCTATAGTGGAGAGCGAGGACTTAGAGTAGGCTTAAGAGTACCGTGATAGAGGGATGGATACCTTATACACGACACTACGATAATACTTCCTAACTAAACGGGGGACTCTTCTACGCGTTATTAAGCTAGAAGAGTATCTAGAGGTATTATTGGACCTGGACGGGTTTTATCACTTTACGTCCTTAGATATTCTGATAGAGGATTAAGATAAGCGTTAACTTCGATATAACCGGTTCGATATTAGGATAATAGATAGGGACGAAATACCTTTACTATAAGTCGCGCGGAAAATACACCCTAGTATACTTATATAGGAATTAGCGGATAAGTTAGGTAAATCGATTTCGAAGTTTAACCCGACTTAGGTCGGTCCGTATAGGCTATTTAAGGCGGCGTCTCCGGTATCTTAGTGGACCACAATATAGCTAGAGTATCCGCTACGCTAAGTGGAGAAAGATAACTATAGAAAGATATATATCGACTACCTTAAGCCCGTTATAGTAAGACTATACTATTTACGGGATAGAGATATTATAGCGGCTAATGCTTAGAGGAAGAGAGTATCAGTTAGGACGTAGATTAACGGGATTCAGATAATTAATTTACAAGTAGCCCCGTTATATTATATACGTATACTGGAAGAGGAGGATATCGGCAGTGGTTTTTAAGGGTATCACGATAGCAGGATTTAGGGTTTATAGAGGTTTTCTGGTGTGGTTTTACAGGTTCTATTAAGTTATCCAGCTTAGGGATAAGCTGCTATCGAGTTGGACGGGTTATAGGGTAGATTAGGTGACCTGCCCTAGAGTAGCCTATTATAGCCTAAACTCCTCCGCCTATAGCTAGCTCGAGGGATCTTCCCTTAATTAAGCATTACTTAACCCACTGTTTGGCAGCGCTATTTAAGACCAAACTAAAATTATCTCGGGAGACTTGCAAGGTATCCGTAATCACCTTAAGGTACAGAGTACATTGAACCTTGTGGTCAAACAACCCCACAGCGCCGAGTTGTCCAAGGCGCTACCTCAGCTACCTAGGTAATAAAGCATTGTGCACAGGATGTTTGGCGCGACTGGGCGCTCTAGTCCGCAACAGGACACCCTTTCTTATGGTCCCCTCCTTTTCTCGTTCTCTATTTCCCGCCCTCCTCTCTAATCATCATCATTTTCCTCACCTTTTTATAGCCTTCCTGTCCTACCGAAAGACATTACAATACAAATAGCAGTCGACAATTCGACCATTTCTTCAACCCTATATTCAATCCAGCATCTCTTTTTTTTTTTTTTTTTTTTTTGTTGTTGAAATCTCTGTCGACGCAGGGCCACCAGCCACCAGCCACCGACCACAATCACATTGTGGGACCCCTTGGCGGCGACACGTTTCTCCCCATTCCGAACAGCCCTCTTTCGTCATCAAATCCTCATCGCTTTTGCCCCCTCGACAAGGAAACCGGGAACGCACTTCACATTCCCTTCCCAAACATCAACGTCGAACGTGGTGGGAAAAAGAGCAGCAAGATCATCATATTCTCCGGTTTTGTTCCGCTTCTCAGAGCACACACCACCCTTCAACATGTCTTGGGAACTGTCGCGGCGTCGCCTCGCTCGGGTCATTAACAGCAAATACATCTACGGGCGTCTGGTACGGTTTCCCCACTCAGAACACAGGGTACCTCGACATAGCATCGCACTACCTTCCGTCGTGTTCCTTCTTCGCGTTTCATGCTTTTTTTGTTCCTTCCCATTTTATTTCCTGTCGACGTAATTTGTTTACAGCATTCAGGAAGCCATCATCACTCTTGTGCTAACCCGGTCTTCTCTTCTCGTCACATTGTAGCCTTTGTTGCACGCCATCATATTCTTCATCGAAATGGCCCTCCTCGCTAGGCTGACCGCACGGTTCAACGCCTACTATGAAGAACGACCGCGTATGTTTCCTTCCTCCCCCATCGTCTTTTGGTCTTCCTTGGATTGTCCGCTAGATGGAAGAGAATAAGAATAAAAGCTGACGGATAGCACCACCTCGAGTAGTCCTCACGATGATGGTCACCAACGCCATCTTGGGTGGCATCGCCGACACGACCGCCCAAACCATCACAATCCTCCGCCAGACAGCCCTCCGAAAACCCGGCGGCGTAGGCAAAGACGACGACATCGCCATCGAGATCCACGAACTCGACCGGAAGAATCCGATGCTCGACCGCGACCTGATCCCCGAGTCGAAGCTGCTGCCGCCGCCCTTCGACTTTGAGCGCCTCACCCGCTTCATGGCCTACGGCTTCGGCATGGCCCCCGTGCAGTTCAAGTGGTTCAAGTTCCTGTCGAAGGCGTTCCCCATCACCAAGGAGGCGGCGTTCGGGCCGGCGATGAAGCGGGTGGCGTTCGACCAGCTCGTGTTCGCGCCGCTCGGTATCGCCTGCTTCTTTACCGTCATGACCGTCGCCGAGGGGGGCGGCCGCAGGGCCGTCTGCAACAAGCTTCGCGACATGTACGTCCCGACGCTCAAGGCCAACTTCCTGCTATGGCCCGCCGTGCAGGTCATCAACTTTCGCCTGATGCCGGTGCAGTTCCAGCTGGTGAGTCTTTCAGTTCTCTGTTGCCCTGTATCAGGTTTCTGGTTCAGTTGTCTCGTATCGTTTCGTATTCAACGGACAAGTGGCTGACATGGAGCCCTCCCTCCCCACGTTGTACAGCCCTTCGTCTCTACTGTCGGTATTGCTTGGACGGCATACCTCTCTCTGACCAACTCGGCTGAAGATGTCGACATGCGAACAAGCCAAAACGGACCTTCCGACATTCGTCTTTCTTAAAAGTTCTCGACTTATAAAAGCTTTGACCTATCTCTTCTTTCGCTTCTTTCAACTGAGGTTATCGGATTCAGGGCATGGCCACGGACTAGGGCAATCAGACTAAAGTGCCTGCACTGGTCAAGATCATATTTCGGGGCGTTTTTGTCTTTGCATTGCTACGGTGCTACGGATTCTTCTCGGCCTGGGTGCCTACGGTTCGTTTGGCTTGATGTCCAGCTTAGAGTTGCTTGTCGCGAGTCTCTAAATTTCTCTTTTGCTGTGCACTCTACCTGGGTTTGGGACAGGCGTTCGACGGTGGGCGGTAATGACGGTTCACTTATACTTTCTTTTTTCCTCCTTTTTTTTTTTTCTCTTTTTTTTTGTTCTCTTCTTTTTGTTTTGCCTCGGCAACACGATGGGCATGTCCCTGCCTCTTCATTGACAAGGGCAGTGTTTAGAAAGAATTGATATTTCCTTTGGTATAGTATTTTAGATGGCTGTCAATGGTACTCTTTGCCTTCTGATGGATTTTCTAATTGTCTCCAGCTCTCTGTAACCGAGTTCATTGCTGATGTCTGATGTACCAGTACAGACGCCCTAAGAAGACACGATGGTGCATCTCTTGACAATGACGCATCAACTTTCGCAGTTGCCCCGGACAATCAGCCTTTCGTTTACTAGTGCGAGAGGTAAATCCCGAGCGAACGACGGGAGAGATCGGTTTAGGGTCGGAATGACGGCTGATACCGGGACTGAGAGGGTGACGGCGCAGGATCGAGAATCCAATTGGGGTTGGTTGCATTCTCGACAAGAGCTTTGGGTGGGGCGCTGAAAATGGCATCGTCTTATAATGCCATGTACAAGTAGGAAATCACTGGTCAAATATAATTACTCCATATTCGGGTGTACCTACGGATACTAACAGTACTATGGGGTCCTGATGATGGGGCCCAAGCTGCGGATCTGATGGAAGGTGTTACCCATGGGCCATTACCCCTCCATTCGATCTTGCTCCTCCCCCACCTACTCCCTACCTACTCCGTTACTCGCAGTGCAGAGTGCAGAACAGAGTGCAGGCAGGACCGACCTGCGGGACAATAAGTCGTAAGAACCTGGAAGTCTTGGAAAGTGATTAAATAAGGTACTTCGTACTATCAAATCACCCCACCATACCATAAAAGTCGAGCCTCCCACCTCCCACCCTCCCTCTCCTTCCATCGCCATCTCAAAAACAGCTGCGTTCTTTTTCTCTTCTTATTGGGTTTCTTCTTTCTTCTTACGAAAACCCCTCAATTTCACTTACAATAATACGTCCCCCCATATCCCGCAGCACTCTCGTCCTTTACGCCAGAAGATACCCCGCCCCTCTTCATCCAAAATGTCTCTCGCCAACAAGCTCTCCATTACCGACGTCGATCTCAAGGACAAGCGCGTCCTGATTCGGGTGAGTCTTTGGCAATTCGATACGTTTTGTTCATCCGGCCTTATTGCGTTGATTGGAGCCCTCCTCCTTGGGTTGAGACGAGAGTAGGAGGAGCATGATGGCGAAGGAGAAAGAAGGAGGGGTTCTGTGGAAAACGGGACCATTGGAATATGAAAGATATGCCAATGAAATCAAGCTGACATTGTTCTTCCACTCCGCCAGGTCGACTTCAACGTCCCCCTCGATGCCGAAAAGAAGATCACCAACAACCAGCGCATTGTCGGTGCTCTTCCCACCATCAAGTACGCCATCGAGAATGGCGCCAAGGCCGTCATCCTCATGTCCCACCTGGGCCGCCCCGATGGCAAGGTGAACGAGAAGTACAGCCTCAAGCCCGTCGTCCCCGAGCTGGAGAAGTTGCTGGGCAAGTCGGTCATTTTCGCCCCCGATTGCGTCGGCCCGGAGGTTGAGGAGATCGTCAACAAGGCCGAGGGCGGCCAGGTCGTCCTGCTGGAGAACCTGCGCTTCCACGCCGAGGAGGAGGGTTCCTCCAAGGATAAGGATGGCAACAAGGTCAAGGCCGACAAGGCCAAGGTCGAGGACTTCCGCAAGGGTCTGACCGCTCTCGGCGACATCTACGTCAGTATGTAGCCCCTTTGTCTTGCGCTTTCCGTCTCCTACCTCGTCTTTACCTCTTCTGTACCTCTCTTTTTGTTCCCGTGGTCCGCCACATGCTGATGCGTTCGACCTAGACGATGCTTTCGGCACTGCGCACCGCGCCCACTCGTCCATGGTCGGTGTCGAGTTGCCGCAGAAGGCGGCCGGTTTCCTCATGAAGAAGGAGCTCGACTACTTTGCCAAGGCTCTCGAGAACCCCCAGCGTCCTTTCCTGGCCATCCTGGGCGGCGCCAAGGTCTCGGACAAGATCCAGCTCATCGACAACCTCCTCGACAAGGTCAACACGCTCATCATCTGCGGCGGCATGTCCTTCACATTCAAGAAGACGCTCTATGGCGTCTCCATCGGCGACTCGCTCTTCGATGAGAACGGCGCCAAGACGGTCGGCAAGCTGATGGAGAAGGCCAAGGCCAACAACGTCAAGGTGGTCCTGCCCGTGGACTACATCACGGCCGACAAGTTCGACAAGGACGCCAAGACGAGCTTCGCCACGGACGAGTCGGGCATCCCCGACGGCTGGATGGGCCTCGACTGCGGAGCCAAGAGCATCGAGCTCTACAAGGAGGCCATCCAGGAGGCCAAGACCATCCTGTGGAACGGCCCGGCCGGCGTCTTCGAGTTTGACAAGTTCGCCAACGGCACCAAGGCCACGCTTGACGCCGCCGTGGCGGCTTCGGAGGAGGGCAAGATTGTCATCATTGGTGGCGGTGACACGGCCACCGTTGCCGCCAAGTACGGTGTCGAGGATAAGCTCAGCCACGTCTCCACCGGCGGCGGCGCTTCCCTGGAGCTTCTCGAGGGCAAGGCCCTGCCCGGTGTTGTCGCCCTGTCGAGTAAGTAAACAATTTGGACCTCCTTAGGTGGTAGTCATGATCGTGGCCGGGGTCTGATGAACGAGGGTTCTTCCGCCGACTGTGGAAAAAGATCGAACCAGACGAATGGATGAGACGAGGCCTAGCCTTTGATGAGATGGCTTTTCTCCGGCAAACAGTCCGGATCCTTAAAATAACGTCACGTAGCTGAATAAGATAATGAAAAGCAAAAAAGAGAGAGAAGAAAAAGGAAGAAAGCCTTGACCATCACTTCAAGTAGAACAGCACAAACCAGAACTCATGACTCGTGGGTCTTTACGAGTTAGGTGTTGTATGTATGTTTGCCATTGCAATAAAGGACATTGAATTTCCCTATCCGGGCCTCGTAGTCTATGCTTCAAGGCCATGATGCCATCTAGCCCGATCTATTCTCCGTGGCGTGAATTCTGCTCTTCCGCTTCCCCCGTGTGCCAGGCGGATAAGCAGTCATCGTCGCTTCGACGCCTCGACCTTCTTGAGTTCCTCCCTGTGATGGGCGTTAGCGATTGTACTCGACACAGCAATTCTTGGGACATAGGGGGTGTGGTTTTCGACGCAAGTAAAGGTCGGGGCAAGAAGGAAAAACAGACTTCAGCTGTGTGGAAAAGTCATCGGTGGTATCGTCATCGTCCCAGCTCTCCTCCCAGAGATGCTGCGTTGTGTTGTTGCCGCCGGCCGCTTCGGTTTCTTCCTCGGCCCAGTCTGCGGTTCAAACGTTAGCTCTCTCCTCTTTGAGTACGAGAATAGGTCGGGACAAGGGCGGGAATTCTTGGTTGGGCGGATGGGCGGATGGGCAGATGGATACGAAGGCCAAAAAAAAAACCCAAAAAAAGAAACGTGAAAGGTAGCGGAAGGAAATAGACGCAGCGTACCGTCGACGGGGAAATCCTCAAACTCGTCGTCCTCTCCTAGCACCGCCGCGTTGGAGGGCTTCTGCTCCTCCTCGGGCTTGGACTGCTGCTGGGTCGGCGCCTTTTCTTGTGTGGTGGTGGCCTTGCTGTCTGAGGATGCCATTTTGTCTAGGAGGGGGCTCTCAAACGGATATTAGACGGGACTCGGGTTTTTGTGTTTTGTTGTTCGCGCTATGGTCGAAGCTGTGTTGAGTGTTTCGTCTCTGTGTTCTGCGACGTAGTAGGCAGACGGGGAAATGGTGATCGTGGGGTGGGAATTGGGAAGAAGACGTCGTGGAGGTTGAAGGTTGAAGGATGATGCGATCTAGGAGGATGCAGTGCCAGTTGCGAAGGAGAGCTCTGGCTGTAGTGTACAAAGTTCGAAGTACCGACAGGTCGTGAAGGCAGGTTGCAAAGCAGTACGTACCCGTACCCACCTCCCGTCGTCCTTACTCAGAACCTCATGCGAGAGCAACTTGGTCCGTGCATCAACATCTTCACTCGGTTCAAGTCGTGATGGACAGGACGAAGAAAGGCCAGTAGGATACCGTTGAATATTCTGTATCCATATTCGTGAAATCGGAGGAATAAAAGAGACCGTTTGAAACTTGATGAGACTTTTTTGGTGTGTTGAAATTCAGAATTCATTCGCTGGAAGCATTATGTAAACCAATACCCACACGCAACCTTTAAGAACTCCCCGGCTTAGACACGTCCCCCTGAGTTTCTTAGCAAGAAACCACTATAAGTATTCAACAATTATTCTATTCAGACAACGGCCTGCGAACCATTAAAGTGATAAAGTTTCAGGCTCTAGCTAAGCCCACATCCCCACGTCGGTACTCGTCCGTGTCCCCTCTAGGAACGTCTGTCAACGGCTTCGTCCTGCTCCGTCCCACCCTGTTCTTCCTCGCTTCCTGCTTCCTCCATTTCCCGACTATCCTCTTCTGCCTCCTCCTCTGTTTCCTCTTCTGCTTCTTCATCTTCATCTTCATCCTCATCATCCGCGTCTCCTTCCGCCTCGTCTTCTCCTTCCGCCTCGTCTTCTCCTTCCGCCTCGTCTTCTGCTTCCTCTCCTGATGCTTCCTCTCCTGATGCTTCCTCTCCTGATGCTTCCTCTCCTGATGCTTCTTCTCCTGATGCTTCCTCTCCTGATATCTCCTCTTCTGCTTCATACTCTATTTCTTCTCCACCTTCCTCTTCCTCTTCCTCCCCTTCCTCCCCTTCCTCGTCCTCGACATGCTCGTCTGCATCCTCCATAGTCTCATCAGCCCCCTCGTCAACCCCTTCTTCCACATTCTCGTCGGCCTCTTCAAGAGAATGGTCTTCGATCGTTTCGTCGCCACCTTCCCCGTCTCCCTCCATCTCATCCAGGCCCTCTTCTTCCCTTACATCCTGCGTTTCATCCCTTTCTTCCTCGTCGGTCCCATCGCCGTCCTCCTCCTCCCCTTCATCCTCTTCATCTTCATCTCCGTCTCCCTGCTGCTCGGTCTCTTCTCCATACTCCCCCTCTTCTTCATGCTCTTCTTCATCCCCCTCTTTGACTTCGGCTTCCGCGTCCTCTCCCTTCTCCTCATCTTCACTCTGTTCCGAACTGCCAGAAACCGCCGTCTTCGGCCCCGTACTTCTCCGGAGATTGGGAAACATCAGCGAAGGCGGCGGCTCTTCGTCCCACCCTTCCGGAACATCGCTCAGATCGCTCTCATCATCCGCCGAATCGTGCATACTACCCCGACGGCTCGAGAGCGCTGTTGTGTCCGCAGGTGCGCCTTCGCCTTCTTCGCCTTCTTCGTCCTTCATAGTCACGTCTTCGTCCTGACCGCCAAGCGCTCGGCCCTGTTTCGTCCCGTCATGGTCGTGGGCGTCGCTTCCTGCCTCGTCGTCGTCGTCCTCGTCGTCGTCGTCGTCGTCGTGGGCCGAATGGCTTCCCCGCTTCCCGCTCGCTATCAACCCGACCAGCGTTTTACCGCTGCCGCCAGCGCCGCCGGGGCCTACCGACTTGGGCCTCTCCAAGCTTCGGAGATACGCCTGCTCGGCCTTGCGTAGGACATCAGCCCGTCGGATGCCCGTTTTCCTGCGAGGAGCCGCCTCGGCCTGCTTGTCCGCCGCTTCGCCGCCGTTCACTGCCGTCTCTGGCCCTGTGCCATTGGGCGGGTTCCCGTCGTCCTTGTCCGACCCCTTGGGGAGCTGCTTCGCGTCATTCGCCTCAGCATCATCTTGCGCTTCTTCCTTCGCCCGCTCCTTGGCCCGCATCTCGATCACCTCCGACGCGTCGGGTCTCGGCAAAGTAGGCGCAATGTTGAAGTAAATCGCCGTGTAGGCGTCGCAGATGACGTCGTCGATGGCGCCGGCCTTCATCAACCCGCCGTTCAACTTCTTCAGCTCGATCGCCTCCTTCATGCACTGCAAGATGGGCGACGAGTCGTTGTTCCCTTGCTCGTGGGCCCAGTCGCCGATGCGATCGGTCACGATCTCGTACTCCTCGGGGGCGACGGATTTGAAGCGGTCCTCCTCGTTCTGCTCCACCTTGTGCGTCTGTCGCAAAAGACGCAGGTACGCGTGGCAGCAGGTCTGCCAGAGGTCGGTGAAGTGGTAGAAATCGCCGCCTTTCTTGCGGATGCGGCGCAGCAGCGCCTCCAAGCTGACCCGGTCGTTCATAACCACCAGGATCTTGACCATGAACCGGACGTACTGTTCCGTGAAGACGTGGTGGCGGCCGGGTCGCTCCGCGTCGCATTTCCACACATTCATCACCATGGTCTTCGTAAACATCGACTCGCGGAGCACGCCAAAAGCCGCCTTGGCCTGCATGTAATCCCCCGACTCCTGCGCCTCCTCGTCGAAGAGCAGGCGGGCGTGCCGCACGATCATGCGGTGTTGCCAGTTGGACTTGTCCTTGTCGCGAAGGTGGCGCAGGTTCTTGATAAGATACTCTTCCCAGTCTCCCATGTCATCCATCTCCGCGTCGTCGCAGCCGAGACCGTGAGGTTGGCGCGAGATGATCTCGGCACCTTCTTGAGGGCTCAGATCTTTCCGCAGAACCAGCTTGTGCACGATAGAAAGGATCTTGTAATGCGGTTCCAGCACTGGTTCGCTATGCCTCGACTTTGGCATCGCCGCCACCACGTCGATGGTGTGTTCGAGCGCTCTTATCAGCTGTTCCATCGACGGCCTCGCTTCTCGGTCGGTCGGACTGAGAGAGTCATCCGGCTTCTGATACATCTTCCAGAGGCACTTGGATATCATGAAGGCATTCCTGTGTCCCGTTAGCCATGTTGGGTCCGACGTGGTGACCATCCACCCCGTCCATATCCACTCACCTCCAATCCTGCGGCTTCCTCTTCATGGCTTTCCTGAAGAGAAGACACGCATACTTCCACACCTTAAAGTCCCCCATCTGGTCGTGGGCCACCCGTTGGAACGTCCCCAACTCCTCCGGCTGAATGAAGAACCGTTCGTGATCGGAATGTTGAAAAGGTTCCATGGCGAAAGGCTCCCGGCTGGAAGCATACATGCGCATAGCGAAACTGTGATACAGATCATGCAGAGGGTCGCCGTCTTCCGAGTACGTCTTCTCCGCCCCCACCGACTTGGACAAGGCCAAGGTGTGGCAATGGATCGAGTTGCGCTGGAATTTGACCAGCTCGGCGCGGTCCTTGTTCATCTTGTCGGCCGTCCACACGACCGCGTCCTCGACCTCGTAGTCGAAGCATTCGGCGAGGCGGAACCAGACTTCCCAGTGGCCCGGGGTAAATTGGAGCTGGTGCCTCAAGAACGCCGCCCCGATACGCAGTTCGTCCATCGCGCCCGGCGTCTGTCTCTTGCTCAGGTCGACGTGCTTGTATTTGCTAAGTGCTATCGTGCCGAGGAGATAGAACCAGCCGTGCCTCGCGAGCGCCATCTCCGGGGCATTCACCGAGACCGTGTCGAGCTCCACCTCCCCCCTGAGAGCCTGGTAGAGACGGAGTGGGTGGATCGGCTTCTTGAAGTACTCGGTGTAGTTCCTCAGGTTGTGGACCATCTGGGGAGTCGATCGTATGGGTCCGATGGCGCCCTGCATGTGCTCGATGGTAGTCTTGAGATCGGACTTCAGCAGGTCTCTCATGGGCATCCGGCGGGCTAACACCGTGACCTTGTCCGCCAGCTGGATCGTGTTGCGCCTCTCAAGTTTCTCCGGGGGGCAGCCGTGATCCTGAACCTCCCAGATGCCGACGCCGAGCTTCAGCCCGTGGAGGTCGTAGAGGACCTGACCAAGGTAATCCTCCCAGTTCTCGATGTTCCTGAAACGAAGCATTTCGACTCGCATCATCTTCAAGAAGATCTTGTTCGAAACCTTGCAGCTCTTGCGCAGGCCGAGGACCTGATGCACCGCGGCAAGATATTCGGCCAAATGGTTCTCTTGTCTGGGGAAGAGATCGGGCTTTTGGTTCATGCCGACTTTGAGCACGGTATACTGGAGACACCAAGTTCGCACTTGGAGCTCCCGTAGCTTGGTGAGGAACGACTGGAAGAGGGAACTGTTGGATGGGGGTCGGGTCATCCCGATGCGGATCTCGTCCTCCACCATGGCGGCGACGTGAAGCATGCAGTTCAGCCCGGCGAGTGCGGAGGCTGTCGTCTTCAGGTGATCATCGTCGATGATGTCGAAGGAGGTGCTCTCGTTGAGGGCCAGGGAGAGGGCATGGATGAGAAGCTCGTCTAGTGACTTCAGCATTCGCAAAAGCAAGGCAGGCCTCGTCTCGCTCGACGTCTTGAGGTACTGCTTCCCTTGTAGATCAGCAGTGATGGTCTCGATGGCTCGAAGCTGGCACGAGAACTGCTTCGTCACGTATTTGATGGCCCCGTACGCATCGCTAAGACGGGTCCAAAGGAAAAGCCTCAGCTCGGTACTGGTGCCTTTGACGAACTTCCAAAGATCTTGTAGACTCTGGCTGGCACAATCCCTGATGGGTATGTTGTCTTGCCTCGGCTTTTGCTTCTCGCCCACCTTCGCTTGCGCACCCACGGTCGAGGCGGCGGCCCTGGAGACAAAGACGGAGTCGGGGTTCAGGACGGGTTCCAAGTTATCGATGATGGCCACAGGATCGCTGATGTCATCCTGGAACAGGCCGAGGAAGAAGTCCATGGTGGTCAGCTTGGAGATTTCCCTGTCTGCAGCGGCTGCTGAAATCTCGGGGAGTACGGCATTATTCTGGAGATACAGGGGGCTGACTTGCTCGTCAGCCAGATAGTCTCGTAGGCTGGTCCAGCATTGCAGGATGTACTCCCGCGACGCGTTTTCTGTGAGCGTTGTGGAAAAGACGGCCGCCCAGAGGAAGCGGATCGACACTACTTTCTTCTTCGTGTTTCGGGGACGCGGCGCCATCTGCGACGCAAGGTCCAGCCACCTCCCGAGACGGCCCTTTGCTTCCACGCGAACGAGATAATCCACAGCGCTGTTTGGGTTGGTGATGCGCTCGTAGACGTCTAGATGCAGTTCGAATAGCATCTCCACAACCTCATGTAGTGCGTCCATCTCTTCCTCCGAAAGTCGACCTTCCGAAGCCAGGGCAATCTCATACCTTGCGCCGTCGTAGAGACTTTGGTCAAATCGGCTGGCGACCTGTACAACGGTGGTCTTCATGTCTTCCGGCCACTTGGACTCCGAGTAGCTAGGGGCAATGGCCTTGATCCATTCCCATGCCACTTCCTGGGCGGTCATCCAGCCGGAATTGATCCTTCGGGCAAAAGCGGCCATGCCACGGGCGTCTCGGAAGGCGGGGAAGTTGAGGGTTGCCTGGGAGCCTCCTTTGGCGTGTTCTAGAAATGCCGACATACCCAGGGTGCCAGCCTCCTTCTTGTTGACGAGAATCTTTGCATTCTCTGCATTAAACTTGACGATGGTGCTCCGTAGGTCCTTCGTGGCTTGGTCCTGCATCTTAGACGGGCGATCCTCCGAGGCGCAGGTCTCTAGGACACAAGCAATGCCGGCCAGAGTATCCGAGTCGGTGACGCCAATGTTTTCGAGTATATCGCGCATCATCTGGAATAGATTGCTGTCTGCCGCCTGGTACTCGGCGAGCTGAGTGGCGAGGAGCGTGCTGCGATCGGCCACTTCCCCTCCGGCCGTCTCCCGCCGGCGAATTCTCTTGCTGCGCTTTTCGACTGTGTTTTCTTCTTCGGCTGCATCACCGATACCGGCCAGCGACTGAGACCTTTTGAGGGTCGGGTTCGAATTACTCCGGCCTTTTCGAGTCGGCCCGCCGGGTTTCCGCGCCTCTCCTCCTGAGCCTTCCCGTTCTTTGGCGCCGTCGTCGACGTCCATCATGGCGGCAGGTGCCGCTTCGGCCGTGGTCTCTGTCTTCGCCTCTTCGTTCAACCGTCGTTGGATGGCCTCCGTCGTACCTATTGTCCCCTCTCCCTCCTCCTCATCGTCGGCCTCTGGATGCTCGATGACGACGGCCCGGCCAGAAAATCCCATTTCCGCGACGAATTGCAGGAGAGCCATGCCAAGTTGGGACCATGTGGCCGTCGAGCAGGGGAGCGCCAGTCGAGCAAGGGGGGCCTCTTCGATCGTATTCCGCATTGCAATCAGGTCCCGGGTCGGATTCGGCAAGAACGGAACGGGATCCAGGTTCTTCCGGATGAAGTCTGGCATTTCTCCCCTCAACCAAGGGCCCATGATAGGATGTGACAGAGCCACGTTGTCGTCGAGAACCTGCAACTGCTGTTTGAGCTCCTCGCCGGCCAAGCCCTCGGCCAGGGATGGAGGCTGGACCTCGTCCACGGCAGGATCATCGTCCAACTCGATGGCTGCCTCGAGACAGTACCTGCGAATTCTGGCACTCTGAAGAAAGCCGGCGACGCGTGCGGTGCGTCTCCACAGCTCTGCGTCGGAAGGGTCTCGGTCGAGAGCGGCGGTAAAATCGGCCAGGGCGGTCTCGGCTTGTTTCCGTACCTCGTCCGTCTGAAAGAAGTCGTTGGAAGAGACGGGAATTCTGCGCGCTTTGTTCTTTATCCGGTCGAGGACGAATTGTCCGTGGTTCTTGTGTGCCAGGAAAAGAGCTTGCGGCAAGGTGCTGTCTGCGCCGTCCACTTCTCCGGATTGAACATCGACTCCCGCAACGAAGCCATCGGGGGTAAGTGGACCTGGCTGCTGCTCGGCACGCTCGTACTCGGTGGCTGCTTCTGGGTAATGGAATATCTCGGATTTGAACAGGTCGTCATAGGCGTCGGCAGCTTCGTCAAAGAATCTGGGACCCTGCGCATGGAGTTTAAGCGCCGTTTGGAAGCGCTTCAAGGCTTCGTCAATCTATTTCTCGGGTCAGTGGGAAGTCGCAGGATATTATTTGGTCCACCAGGACAAAATATTTACGTGAATTTGGCGGGTGTTATCGATTTCATCGTCGATGTTTTCTTCGGGTTCAAGATTGATGGCTTGGAATGTCGGCTGCGAAGAGAACTGAGTTATTAGCAGATGTCCCTAATAAAGAACGAAGAAAGATAGGCCGGACGCACCATTGTGAAAAATTGAACGAGATGTAGAAGAGTAAGGAGATGTATAGACTCTAGAAGAGACGCAAGTCGTGATATGGCAGACGCATTGGTAGGTACTTTCGCCGAGAAGCAGGTGGTTTGGATTTGATTTGTAGAAGTATTACAGAGTACCTAAGGTAGCAACTTCTTCGCGTCGCGTAATTACTTCATACGAGCTTCTGGTACCGGCAGCAGGGATAAGGTACCGAGTACGTGCAGGTACCGATACTCCGGACATCCGTACCTGCCCATCGGGTCAAAGGTGAAGCGGACCCCACCCTGTCATGATAGCTGAAGGTGGCTTGACTGGAGAATCTGTGGCGTGCTGGGTACCTTGGGCAAAGTGTGGCTTCGCAAGGCTGACAACCCCGTTTCGTCCACCACTGACGTGGATGCTCGCCTTTGGTCTGTGCGGTCCCGTGTCCTCGTACCTCGTACCTCGTACCTCCTCCAGAGCCCATAGCTCCCCTCGACGACAAATCAGCAGCGTGTCTTTGTCTGCACGGAACTGTTACTTCTTATTCTCTTCCATAATACCTAACCACCAACTGCCACAACGATTTGAACACAAATCCGGGCTTTCACCACCCGTCAACTCCTTGTCTCCTCTCGGGGCGAGCACTCTCCTTTCAATTGAATCTTTCGCTTGTTGCACGGGTTCTCAATCACAGCCGGGCGCAGCATCAACTTCCCCCTTGTCCAAAGACTTTGGGATCCCGCCCCCCCCTTCTACCGGAGGTCAGATAGCTGCTGACCTGGCTGCCCAACATGGTTGCTCCAGCTATTCCCGAGTGCGTTTGAGCTTGTCCAAGTCCTTTGTCGTTCGGGCTAAGCTAACAGACCCTCCCCTTTTTTTTCTTTTTTTTTTTTTCTTCAGGCTCACGGAGGATGTCATTCACGAGTCGATTGATGCGCGAACCGATTCCTTAATTTCCTTGCGCGAACTCGGTCCTCCCGACCTGGTGCATCTTCTGAAGCAATCCGTCAGGACCCCTGCGAAACAAGTACGCCGTCCCTCCGTCTTCTATAGCTATACCTAGCGGGACCTGCTAACACCGCTCTGCCCCCCATAGATCGGAGTGTATCACCACATCACCGGTGTCGATGCCTCGTCCTCCGCCAGCCTTGCCGCTTTCATCAACACACTGACGAATCGAGAACATGGACCCTCGGCGCAAAACAAGGTAGTGGAGGGGCTATACTGGTGAGTCCACCCGACCACCTTGACGACCTTTTTTCTGAGGGGATTGTTGCCCCGTGCCTGACCCCCCGTCGCAGCTGCTACAACGCCTTTTCCCGACTCGATATGCGTGTCCATGTGACGATTCCCGGTTCGGTCGAGAGCTACTGCGTAGACGAACGAGGCGACAGGCGCAAAGCCACCGACGAGTTGTGGCTCGAGACCTACCTCTGCAGTGTCATTAGGGCCTACTCGTATGCGGACGATGGCAGCGGCGAGACCATTCGCAAGATCATGGGCGTGCGCCGGTTCAACCCTGTCACTAACACGGAGACGGAGCATCGGTTCCTTAATGCCGCCGAGCAGCTTTTTTTCAGAGGTATTTCACGACAAAGAAAATAACAACCTCCTCCCCCCCTCTCCCCCACCCCCCTGATCCTCCTCCGGGGACAGCCTGGGGCCTGGCGTCATGCTCACACATCTCTATTTAGGCTGGCAACTGGGCTCCGACTCGGTCGTCCAAGTACCAAACAACGTCTCGAATCATCTCACTGCCGGCTTGCTCAGCTACTTCGAGACTACGGGGCGCTACGCATCGGGTATCAACCTTTTCGAAAAACTCCGCACGCAGAACATCGAGGTTTCCTCTCTCCTGGCCAAGCTTCTGTTCATGGGTAACGAGGAGGTCAAGGGCGTCAGAGTCCTGCATGAAGCCCTCAAGGAACTGCCCATGGACTACGTCATGCTCGACACCCAGGCCGAGTTCCTCCTCAAGAAGGCCCAGACCGCCGACTCCCCAGAGCTCAAGGACGAGTGTCTCCGCATGGCGCTGGCATGCGCCGACCGCAGCACCGTCGCCGCCCCTAGCGAATTCGGCACCTGGGCCCGGCTTGCCCAGGTGTACGTCGCCATGGAGGACTGGGAGAACGCGCTGACCATCTTGAACTCGTGCCCCATGTTCACCTACCAGGACAAGGACACGCCCCAGATGCCCGAGCCGAGAGAGATCCACCTACCGACCTTGCCGGAGACGCGACTGGACGAGATCGACAGCGAGCCCGAGTCCAGGTACTCGGAGCAGGTGGACCCCAACCTCTTGAACCTCCGCGCCGCCACGTACAAGGGCACTTTCAAGCAGGCATACTGCATCCTCACCGAGATGGCGCGCAAGATTGGATGGGACCAGCTGCTCAGGATCCGCAGCACCGTTTTCGTCATGGAAGACGAGTATCGCACCGAGAAGCAGGAGACCACCGGCCAGTCGGGTCCGACCAACCGCACGGCTAGTACCGACGGACTGCGCGGGACACCGGATCCCACTACGAATGGAGACCAGACAGATGAAGAGGACGGTGCTGTAGCAGGGGAAGCCAAGTCCGCTGAGGGTGATGCGGCGGCTGTGAACGGGGACGCGGAGGCGGAGGTGGAGGCCGGCGGACCTACATCGGTGGAGAAGCCATCGCACACGATAGATCCCGGCGAGGTCAAGTCTGATGCCGAGAACGTAAGGGCCCCTTTGTCCTTTTTTTTTCTTTTTCTTTTTTCCCTTTTCCCCCTTTTTTTCTTCTTTTTCTTGCTAACAATCAACGTGTACTAGGGCAACCAGAGCGATGAGCATCTATCGAAATTGAACAACAAGCGGCTCTGCGAAAGGTGGCTGGACAGCCTCTTCATGGTCCTGTACGAGGACCTGCGGGTCTACACGATCTGGAGGACGCAGATGGCGCAGTACAAGGCGCAGGCGATGCAGTACCGCAAGTCGCCGGAGGAGTGGGAGATCCTCGGGGCGCTGGCGGAGCGGCTGCAGCACACGGACGAGGCGCTCGAGGCGTACCGTTCCTGCCTGGCGCTGCGGTTCAGCCCGAAAGCGCTGACGAGCATCCTCCGCCACTACGAGAGGTCGAAGAGCACGCGCGACACGGTGGCTGCGGTCATCAGGTTGGTGACGTGGCAGTACCGGTGGTACTCGGAGTTCTCGCCGGAACTGCTCCACGTGATCCGGTCGTTGATCGAGGACGAAGGGGCGGTCAAGGTCCGGAGCATCATTCAGGCCACCAGCTTGCCGCAGAACGTTGTCGACTTGACGCATCACTATGCCGCCCTCTGCGCAACGTTTCGGAGCAGCGGGACGGATGGTTAGGTTTTGCGTGGACCCATCATCGGTTGACGGGATGGTGAAATAGGAAATAGAACGCGGAGCACAAGATGAGAAGACCAATGTCAAGACGACGTGGGGAGTGTCTTCTTGTTTCTGTTAGAAACGGCGGCGGATAGGGAGTCTGACAAGGTATTCCTCGCCAGCGCCCTCCTTCAACGAGGGAACGTAATATCTATATACGCATACGCCCACACTTCCCGAGATGGCCTAAATAGGTAGCCTAGTCAAGTTATATAATCTTTCTATTATTATTCACATGCTTATCTGAAAGTACGTGGGCTTTTCAAGGCGACGGGTAAAATGGACGAATAATAGACCACCTACGGGTCAATAACGGCAACATGCCGGTGCTGATAACTAAGTACATGCAGAATGAATGATTAGTATTTGTATACCAAGGAGTTTCTGCCAAATTCCTAGGTTTGACAAGCCCCTGGGGAGTTTGGATCTTGCTATTATAGCGGCAGACGTCTGGCGTTGCGCCGACATGCCCCATGGCATGTAAAGGACCTCGGATCCTTATATCTAGAAGAAGGCCCGCCAAGAAGGGTCCACTGGTAATTGGTAACGACTCGCTCACTTAATGTGCTTCTCCGACCTCTTTCGTTTGGGAGCTCATATCTGCGAAATCTGCGTCCGGGTCTGGGTGACGAATCTGCGTTGATGGCGCCGTGTGATTGACCTTGGTCTGCATCTCGTCGAACAGCTTTGGGGTCCAATCGAAGACGTTATCATATTCGAAGCCCTGTTCTCGGAAAAGACGGCTAAAAAGGGTGCGGAGGTACGGGTAGTCCGGCTTGTCGTCGAAAGCCAGACCCCGGGTGTAGTTGATGTAGGTGGCGAATTCTCCGGGGAGGAAGCCGTCGCAGAGCGCTTCGCCTGACAGGCTTTCCTTCATGTCCTTGATCCGCATGTTCCTCTCGTACTGCGTGGCAACCTGCAGGCCCTGCCATGGCAGCGAGCCGCGGGCGAAATAGACGAAAATATATCCAAGGGATTCCAGGTCGTCGCCCCAGGACTGCTCTACACACCGGTCGCGGCGTCTTAGCGAGGTGACAACTGGGCCTTTTCTCTTTTACAACCAAACAAACAAAACAGGGAAAAAACAGGAAGAAAAAACCTACCGCGGCCATTGTGATTGCTAATGCTCGCGTACCGCCTCGTGCCGCCCAATGGGAGGCCTTCGACATCCCTGTGATACTCGGCGTCACTAAACTCCTTGGCGAGGCCGAAATCAATGATGTAAAGCGTGTTTCCCTGCTTCCCAACCCCCAGCAGACAGTTGTCCGGCTTGATATCACGATGGAGGAAGCCCTTCGAATGAACATATTCGATGCGGGAGAGGGCCTGGTCGGCGATGAGGAGGATGGTCTTGAGCGAGAACCTCCGGCCGCAGTAGTTGAAGAGATCCTCGAGCGACGGGCCGAGGGCGTCGAGGATCAGTATGTAGAAGTCGCCCTCGTCACCAAACCAGTGTATGCGTGGGATTCCGACCCCGCCCTCCAACGCCTCGTAGGTCTCCTTCTCGCCTTGAGGCATGTCCGGGCCAGCTCGGACATGTGTGAGCTTTATGGCGACCTCCTCGCCCGATTAAAGATCAGTCCCTATCCCTCGGGGTGTTAGCGAGGGGCTCTGGAGGCTGGCAGAGGCGAGACAAATGCCGTACCGGAATAGACGAGGCCGAAGCCTCCTGCACCAATCTTGTGATCAACGCGGTACCTGTCGGCGATGAGAATGTCCTGGAGGGGTGTGTGAGCGGTTTTTTATTTTCTTTTATTTTTCTTCTTCTTCTCCTTCTCTTTCTCCTGTTTCACTAGAGGGGTCATAGATCAGTACCTTCATGGTGAGATGGCAGGTGAAGTTGCAAAGTGAAGGGTGCAACCAAAACCAAGGGAAAGTGTTGAACTATATACCTCAAGAAGTACCTACACATTAGAGGATTCTCTTTTAGTGTAGTAGTACGTTTTTGAGTGTGACAGTTATAAGCCCGGGAGGAATACGCTAGTGTATTCCTGGAACTTCCCCTGCTAAGACCACCCGTTCGAAACCTAGCCGAGGAGATACCTTAAATAAGCTTTAGTGCCCTAGGAGACCGCTTATACAAAACAAGCCGTGTCGATATAAGTGTGTTTTTAGTCAGCCTTTAAGCACAAAGATCGTCCTTATACAGGTTAGGGGGTATATTAAACTATATACCTTAAGAAGTATCTATATATTAGAGGATTCTCTTTCAGTGTAGTAGTACGTTTTTAAGTGTGATAGAAAGTATCTAAGAATACACTAACGCTGGCCCGCTTTAAAGTCCGGTACTTTTAGTAGCCTAGCGTTTATACTATCGGATAGGCCGTAAGATACGGTTACGTAATAGGCACGGATTTAACTAAAGGATTATAATCTTAGTTATCCGGGTGGACACCTACAGAATCTTCACTATATAAATTACGGTGGCAGGAGTTCCCTAACGGTCCAGGATTTTAATTAAGTTACACACACAAATCTACAGATATACAAGCCTTAATTAAATCGACCGATAAACTGCCCTATTACTATTCTTCTATATTATTAGTACGGTTACGCTGTATCTAATAATTAAGAGTCTTATATACTATCGATATTATCCCTTTTACCTCTCGAACTACCGATTAAGAGCTATTTAAGCCGAGCCGGTGTAGCGAACCTTTTACCGAATCCTTTACGGCTTAAAGAAGCTAACCGATAATTAAGATCACGGTTCTATAAGATATCCGGGGTTAATACTATATAAAATTATACCTAAAGCGACTAGACGTTCTGGAAACGAAGTGATAATACGACGGCTATAGCCTATAGCGTCCGGAACTAATTTACTAACCTTAAAGATAATCCCCTTTTCTATAAAAACCCGGCCTTAGAGCCTTACCCTGATTTCGATAACCTTATAACCCTTATTCTATTAACCGCGCCGCCTACCAGAACGGCCGCGTATAACATTAACAATACTACCCTTCTTCTAACCACTATACCGCCCTCCGCGCTAGATCTAACGACTGCCGGAACAAGGATACCCTCGTGGCAGATCTAACGGTTACCGGAACGGCCGCGTATACCCTTAACTACGTTAACGGTTTACCTGCTTCCTATAGCAGATCTAACCACCGCCGGAAAGGCCACTGGACGAGGATGCCTTAGTGGCAGATCTGACGGTTGCCGGAACGGCCACCTACAAGGTTAAATAATAACCGAAGAACACGGTATATATGCCGAAGATAAGTCACGACCTTGGAAGAAGACTGGTATATATTCCCTGAATAGCCTACTCCAGAGTGGGCTTAAGGAATCCTTTTAAGTCCGTAGGTCGAACGGCTACTTATCCAGACCCGAAACTGATGACCGCAAGACTGCTTTGGAGGACCTATTTTAATAGCTATTTAAGAGTGGCCGCCTAACCTATTCGGAGGCCGGTATATAGTAACTGCGTGGTCGCCGGCAGCACGGCGTTGCTAATCCACTACCGTCTACGAGTAGAGGGATCTACCCTATAAGCTAAGTTATCTCCACGATTAAACCGTTATATATCTACGTGCTTTTAACGATACTAACCACTCTGCGACTACGGCCGCAGAACGGTTAGATATCCTCTGAAAGCCATATATAGCTCCTGTCTACGGTGGATTATACCGATCCTTTTCCGATTTTATAACCACGTACGGCTCCTGCCTACGTTAGATTATACCGATCTTTCCGATTTTATAATTATAAACCGAGGGCATTAGATATCTACGCCGCTATACGGGAGTTCCTACAGTGGTTGCTTTAAGTGGTAGCCCTGACCGTAACGAATATACCCGCGAGAGTGATATTAAGCTAATACAATCCTACGAGAAAGCAGGCGTTATTTAAAGGACTTGTTTATCCGGCTGGCGTACTCCACGCTAGACACTCCTGTTTAACAAATATACTCTTAGGTTCTCTTTTAAACCGATGCCTTCCCCCCGGGGATTGCGGTCTATAATGCTTAGCAGTAAAGGGGTGGAGTAAGGCCGTTTTGCAGAGGCATAAGCTAATAAGCCCCCCCCCTTACACAACTGCTTATTCTGAACTTATTCCACTTACCTACGCCCTGTATTTATATATAAATCTATGCTTATTAGCCTTATATATTATTGCTATATAGACTCGAGTACTTAGTGTTTTTTTGCGACGTCTACCGGCACCGTTTTTCGGCCCTTCCGGTGGTTCTGGAGATAGCCACGATAAGCGGTCTTCTATCTATTCCCGGGAACCGGGTACCGGGTGGCCGGATTACGAAGAGCTTCCGGCCGGCGTTAAATGCTGATATCCAGTGGTTGTCTCTAGGCAGGGCGCGCGCTCTTTTATTTATAGAAGCCCTGTAGCCGTAACTACAGGGTATCGCAGCACCGTATCACTAGCTTCTTTTCCAGTTTCTTTACTAGCTATCTCCTTACCGAAGTAGTCGCGCTCCTTTATTTATAGGAGCCATATAGCCGTAACTATAGGGGCATCGTAGCACCGTGTTCCTCTATCTATAAGGAACCCTATAGCCGTAATCGTAGAGATATCACGATTTCCTAATATCACGACTACTATCCGCGCTATAACCGACGGCGGGGTTTGTTCCTGGTGGAGCGGGAAGCTATGGACTAGGGGCTATAGACGTTGATTAGGCGCCACGCTAGCTAAATTATATAGTTCGTGTCCTAACTCTTATTTATCTGGACTCGAGATAGCCTTCTCTACCCCTTACGGAAGGGCGACGCAGACGTAACCTCGGCGACGATACTAAGAAAAGAGACCCGGGAGGGTTTAGTCCCGGCGAGGCTTGAAGGCCTTAATCTTATCTGCTATAGTCTTAGCTTTCTTATTTCTTAGCCACCTTAGGTAATAGTAGCCTGTGTATTACTCGATCTAATGAATAGTATGTCTATAGCCCCCGAAGGCTATTGGTTTAATCTTAATTAGGTCTATATAGAAGTCTCCTAGGGTTAATAGTATAGCTGGCTTTTCTCGCGATAGTTACTCCTTAGATTTAGCTAAATAGCAGGCCTTATAATAGTATGCTTCTACTTAGGCAGGATTAAACTGGATACCTATACCTTTATAGGCTTTAACGATCTTAGCCTTACTAATATAACCTAGTCTTTTATATCACACGCCAAAGTCGGCTTTAAGATGCTTTATTATGATTATAGCGTAGGCGAGAGTGTTTTCTATTTTATATTCTCTATCTATATCCACTTAGATAACGGCTATATCCTTCTTCTAGTCGATCTTAGCGAGTTATTAACCTATTTTCTTAGCGAAGAGGGTCTCTTGTTTATTACTATAACGGATCCCTTAGCTACAGAGGTATCCTAATAAGATAAGGTTCACGGGTGCTTAGGGATAATACTAAATCTGGTCTATCGTCTATTTATAGATTTAATCTATAAGGTCTTTAGTCTTGAAGAATACTAAGCCTATACCTAACGGTCGAGATCTATTACTATCTACGACCCTTATATAGGGAAGGTCGTCTTTTAGGGTGTACGTCTTAAACCACTTAAGATCGTTAAAGGTGCTGACTTAATAGCCCGAGTCCTAGACTAGATTATTATAAGCTATTATAGTGGGTTAGACTACTATAATAAGGAGAGCATTATAAAAGGATTATTAATTAAAGGCTAAGCCTTTAGACTTAACTTAGACCCCTCCTATATCCTCGGACTTAGCTTCCGTGGGTTTATTATTATCGGATTTATCCTTTTAGCGGTGCTATACGTACTTGCCTGTTTTCTTATATTCCTCGTTCTTCTTTTAGAAGGCTTTTCTTCTATATTCGGGGGCTTTATTTAGGTGGATAATAAAGTACTAGCTTTTTAGATATCTGCCGTTACACGCCTCGCACTTAGAAGGGTCTTAGTCTTAGTCCTTATCCTTATTAGGCTACGGCTTAATCACGGTGTTATTTAATATCTTAAAGTCCTCGGACTTAGCCTTTAGATATAGGTTATCGAGTAGGGTTCTTAAATTAATAGTCTTTTTACTTATATATCGTTCCGTGAGTGCCGAATACTTACTTTTAATAGCTATAAGGATTATATAGACGTCTTTCTTATTATTAATTAATCCAATTTAGTCGTCTAGTTATTTCCTGATGGCGTATATCCTCTATAGGTAAATAGAGGTTAATCTAAATTCCTTGATTTTTATAGTATTCTATTCCTGTACTAAGGCTATTATAGCTTCTTCTAATACACGGGGAATTATATCCTTTATATTATAGGCTATGGCCCGCGGAATAGTCCCCGGCAGTGGCCGGGACTAAGGAGCACGGACCTCTTAGTAAGGCCCGTGCGATTCTATATATACTTAGCCGCCTACACACCGCGCAGACTTTTCCTTTCCTCCTTTCCTTCCTTAATTCGAATAATCTATATTTTCGGCCTTAATACGTGAATAACTTTTAATAAGCCATTATATATTCGAACTTATAAGATTATAAGCTTTAATGCTTATATAGAAGGAGGTCCCGGTCACTTCGCCCCGAGCCTATTAAGGGGCTAAGGGTAAGTCGTAGGGACCTTATATAATAAGATCGACGAACGCGTGTTATAACGTATATAGAAAGCGGTAAGGATATATATCGCTCCTATTTATAATATAATCGCTAGTCTATAAATAGTCTTTAAAAGGTCTTAACTTAACCCGTACCTTATATCTACTACGTACCTAGCGCCTACCCTAGTCGTTACGCCCTTGCCCTTACCTAGGCTACTAAAGGCAACGACTACTATACCTATTCCGCTACCGCCGCCGGCACCTACGCTCTTATACCGGGTATAGTAGGTCGTTATTCCCGTAAAATCTAG